ATGGCACTTGGCAACGACACCGACGCCGACAACGACAGCGACAACGACGACGACGACGCCGACGACGACTCCGACGACTCCGACGACGACTCCGACGACAACGACGACAACGACGACGACGACACCGACGACGACGACGACACCGACGACGACGACGACGCCGACGCCGACGACGACGACGACGACGATGACGTCGCCGACGATGACGGCGACGGCGACGCCGACGCCGACGCCGACGCCGACGCCGACGCCGACGCCGACGCCGACGCCGACGACGACGACGACGACGTCGCCAACGAAAACGACGACGACGAGGGAGGAGGGAGGACGACGACGGCGACAACGACGACAACGACGACAACGACGAGGGAGAAGAGAGAACGGCGACGACGCGAACGACGAAGAAGGAGAAAGGACGGCGACGCCGACAACGACAACGACGAGGGAGGAGGGAAGACGACGACGACGACAACGACGACGACGACGGCGACGAAATAAGAGGGACGACGACGAGACGCCGACGACGGACGACGACGACGACGAGGGAGGAGGAGGAAGGACGACCACGGCGACAACGACGACGGAAAGACCACGACGCCAAAGAGGACGACGACGACGAGCACGAGGAAAGACAGAGGACGACGTAGGCGACGACGACGACGACGCGTGAGGAGGGAGGACGGCGACTATGACGACGACGACGACGCAAGAGCGCGCGCACACGCTTTTGTTGAAAATCCGTGTTGCGAAACCTTGTGTTTTCGTAGGTTTTTTGGACACACGATTTTGAAATCCTTCCGAAGCCAATGGGTTTTGAAGGATTTCGGCATACGCGCGCGACGACGCGCGCGTCTGCACTTCGTCTCGTTTTTTGCAGAGGGTTCTCGCTACGGCACACGCGCAAGGGCGTTCGACAGATTTCGACATGCGCGCGCGAAGCCCGTCTGGTAGCATTTTGTGGAAACCTGGATTTTTTTGGAAGAAAAACTGAAAACAAATCAAGATTTCGCAAGAGCTCGCGCGTAAGCTTTTATAGCAAATCAGTGTTGCGAAACCTCATGTTTTTTTTTTTTTGTGGAAACTCGATTGCGGAATCCTTCCGACACCGAAGGTTTTTTAAGGATTTCGGCATGCGCGCGCGACGACGCGCGCGTGTGCACTTCGTCCTTTTTGTGCAAGGGATTCGTGAACAAGTCTGATGTTAGAACAAAACATGTCCCCGCGTTCTTTTTTTGTTGTTGTTAAAAAAATAAGGAAAGGGGAGCCTCAGGGGGACCGATCCCGGCCCTTTTGGGTTAGTGTGCATTCATTTTTTATGATGGACATTTGGTCATAATCATGTATGATTTACATACCCGCAAGGGGGGGCGATAACGCCAGTGCAGGGGTAGAGTCTATTCTCTTTCTAGAAAGGAGAAATTATTTCTGTTCGCAGTGAGTTGTCCACTCCACTGCTCGCGCAAACACCCCACCCACCCACCCGCAACTTGGTTTGCAAAATCTCTTAAGACCGTGACGGTGGGTACCAAATAGCACTTGGCAGCGACAGCGACGCCGACGACGACATCGACACCGACGACGACGTCGCCGCCGACAACGACTACGACGACACCGACGACGTCTCCTACGACTTTCACGACGCCGACAACGACGACGACGACGACACCGACGACGACGACGCCGACGCCGACGCCGACGACGACGACGATGACAACGACGACGACTATGACGACGCCGACGACGACGACGACAACGACGACACCGACGATGACGACGACGTCAACGACGCGGCAACGACGCCGACACCGACGACGACGACGGCGGCGACGATGACGAAGCCGACGTCGACGACGACGAAGACGACGCCGACGCCGACGACGACAAAGACGACGACGACGTCGCCAACGAAGACGACGACGAGGGAGGAGGGAGGACGACGACGGCGACAACGACGACAACGACGACAACGACGAGGGAAGAGGGAGGACGGCGACGACGCGAACGACGAAAAAGGAAGAAAAACGGCGACGCCGACGACGACAACGACGAGGGAGGAGGGATGACGACGACGACAACAACGACGACGACGACGACGGCCACGAAATAGGAGGGACGACGACGAGACGCCGACGACGGACGACGACGACGTCGAGGGAGGAGGAGGAAGGACGACCACGGCGACAACGACGACGGAAAAGACCACGACGCCAAAGAGGACGACGACGACGAGCACGAGGAAAGACAGAGGACGACGTAGGCGACGACGACGACGACGCGTGAGGAGGGAGGACGGCGACTATGACGACGACGACGACGCAAGAGCGCGCGCACGATTTTGTTGAACATCCGTGTTGCGAAACCTTGTGTTTTTGTAGGTTTTTTGGACACACGATTTTGAAATCCTTTCGAAGCCGATGGGTTTTGAAGAATTTCGGCGTACGCGCGCGACGACGCGCGCGTCTGCACTTCGTCGCATTTTTTTGCAGGGGGTTCTCGCGACGGCACACGCGCAAGGGCGTTCGACAGATTTCGACATGCGCGCGCGCGAAGCCCGTTTGGTAGCATTTCGTGAAAATCTTGATAAACCAGTGGTTTTTTGATGATTTCGCAAGAGCTCGCGCGTAAACTTTTTTAGCAACTCAGTGTTGCGAAACCCTGTGTTGTTGTAGGTTTCTTTTGGTTTGGACACGCTCGATAGCGAAATCCTTCCGACACCGAAGGTTTTTGAAGCATTCCGGTTTGCGCGCGCGAGGACGTGCGCGTGTGCATTTCGTGTCTTGTGTTAGAACAAAACATGTTCCCGCGTATTTTTTTACAAGGGAACCTCAGGGGGACCGATCCCGGGCCCCTTGGGATAGTGTAAATTCGTATCTAGGATGGACATGTGGTCAGAGTCATACATGGTTTACATACCCGAAAAAGGGGGCCGATAACGCCGGGGGGGGGGTAGAGTTTTAGAAAGGAGAACTTATTGGCTCAAGTTGAAGCTGTCCTCTCCGCTGCTCGTGCAAACATCCCACCCTCCCACCAACAACTTGGACGCAAGACCTCTTAAGACCGTGATGGTGGGTACCAAATGGCACTTGGCAGCGATACCGACTCCGACGACGACAACGACAACGACGACGACGCCGCCGACAACGACTACGACGACACCGACGACGTCTCCAACGACTTCGACGACGACAACGACGACGACAACACCGACGATGACGACGCCGACGCCGACGACGACGACGACGATGACAACGCCGACGACGACGACGCCGCCGATGACGGCGACGACGACGACGGCGACGACGACGACGACAACGACGACGGCGACGACGAAGACGACGACGACGTCGCCAACGAAGACGACGGCGACAACGACGAGGGAGGAGGGAGGACGGCGACGGCGACGACGACAACGACGATAGAGGAGGGAAGACGACGACGACGACGACGACGGCGACGAAACAGGAGTGACAGCGACGAAACGCCGACGAAAACGACGAGGGAAGAAGGACGACCACGGCGACAACGACGACGGACAACGACGACGACGCCAAGACGACGATGTCGACGAGGAAGGACAGAGGACGACGACGGCGACGACGACGACGACGAGGGAGGAGGGAGGACGGCGACGACGACGGCGACAACGCAAGATCGCGCGCGCACGATTTTGTTGAAAATCCGTGTTGCGAAACCTTGTGTTTCAGTATGTTTTTTGGGCACGATTTTGAAATTCTTCCGAAACCGAAGGTTTTTAAAGGATTTCGGCATGCGCGCGCGACGACGCGCGCGTCTGCACTTCGTCCCGTATTTTACAGAGGATTCTCGCTACGGCACGCGCGCAAGGGCGTTCGAAAGATTTCGACATGCGCGCGCGAAGCCCGCTTTGTAGTATAAAAAATGTGGAAGAAACTATAGTTTTCTTACGATTTCGCAAGAGTGCGCGCGTAAGCTTTTTTGGAACATCAGTATTGCGACACCATATATTTGTGTATATATATATATATATATATATTGGAAGCTCGATTGCGAAATCCTTCCCGCACCGAAGGTTCTTGAAGGATTTCGGCATGCGCGCGCGACGACGCGCGCGTGTGTACTTCGTCCTGTTTTTTGCAAGGGATTCTTGAAAACTTATGATTTTTGATAAACGAGAGTGCGCGCATCGTATTTTTTGCAGAGGTTGGCGGTGGGGAGTAATTGATACTGGCCTGGCTGGGATAGAACGACTCCATATTTAGGATGGACGAGTGTGTTGAATAAATATGAAATCGCAATATCCCAGGGGGGATCGTTAACTCAGGGGGGGGGGGGTCGACTCTATTCTTCTTCTTCTATAAAGGAGAATCTATGTGATGTAAGCGATGCCCGGCACTAGAAGTGGTGCAATTTTTGTGGTGTATGCTATGTGGTGCAATATCTGCGAGTCGAGCTACGTGAAGCAATGTAGTTGGTGCAGTGTCTGTTGCGCAATGTGTATATGGGGTATAAACTATGTGGTGCAATCTGTGTGGTGTGAGCTACGTGGCGCATTTTACATTGTGTAAGCTATGTGGTGCAAGTTCTGCGGTGCAATATATGTTGTGCAATCTATGTGGTGTAAGCTATACGGTACAATCTACGTTCAGCGATCTACGTGGTGCAAATGCATGTGGTGCAAGCCGTACGGTGCAATGAACTTCTGTCAGTAGTGATTTGTCAACTTCAGTGCTTGTGCAATCGTCCCACCCACCCACCCGCAACCTGGTTTGCAAGACCAGCGCGGCGGCGATTGCGATGACTGCTTGGCGCTGGCTGGCGCATCGCTGCGGCCGCGCTAGCGCGCGCAAGCTGGCGCACAAAACGGCCAGCTAGGTTAGCGTGACCGACGCGGCCGGTGGCGCTGACCGCTGCGGCCTTGCCCGCGCGTTTCGCAGGCCGCGTTGATGCGCGGGCGCGGCGTCAGCCACGGCCGCGGTGGTGCGTGACGGGCAGCCCGCCCGGCTCCCAGCGCTCCGCCCGAGGTCACCGTCGTCAATTGGCTGGACTACCGCAAGAGCGTCACCAAGGCGTGTGGGCACGCCGTGGAGGGACTGATCCCTTCCTCCTTTCTTCCCCCTTCGGGGGTGGACAGATCTCCTACCCTGACACGTCGATTAAGGACTTGGCCGTTTTCGGTTCGCGAGAGGGCGTCGCGGCCGTCATTTTTGCGGGTCCAGGTCCGTCGGTTTCGGTCCTAGGCCATTTTCACTAAAGGGAGGTTTTTCTGAAGGGAGCTTTGTCCATCGCCGACTCCTCCTCCCTCCATCTTGCTCCCTCCATCTTGTGTGCACAGAACAGCCGAGGCGATGACATCGTAGAGTTCAGGTGAGAAGGCAGGAGGGAACAAAACACACAGACACAATTAATCGTCGATTCCACAAAAAATATGGGAAAATATGGGAAGTGGGGGGGAAGACAAAAACGCAAAAATATGGGAAAATATGAGGAATAGTTTTATTTGTGTGTATTTATTGGTGTGTCCTGGGGCCCCTTTGAGGTGAGAAGTCAGGAGGACGGTCACTGGACTGACCCTGGAACGTTTTCGTCGTCGTCGTCGTCTGAGGGGCTACGGCCCTACCGCCGACGCCTTCAAGGCGCGCGGCTGCGCGTCCGCGCGGTTGCAGATGTCGGCGCTCTCCTCGCCTCCCTCGTGTTCGAGGCTCTGTTCCCTGAAGCAGCCCTCAAGACCCACTCTGGTGTGCGGGACGTTTGGCCCCCTCACGCGCCAGCCTGCGCCTTGAGACTTGAATCGCTCCTCGCGCCCTCCCCTCCTCCCTCCCCCCTGCTTCCCCTCCCTCCTCCCAGCTCTTCCTTCCCCGCTCCCCCCGCACCCATACGCGCACGGCACTCAGTGAGATTGCTTCAGACGGCCGAGCGATGGTATAGCCCCCGTGCTTTGTGGCCAACGAAGTGCTGTGATGTTTCACGGTGGGGGCTCATGGCAAGGATTTGAGAATAAGGAGGGAGGAGGAGGGAGGAGGAGGGAGGAGGAGGGAGGAGGAGGGAGATTGCGCTTCTCCAAAAGGGGTTCCGCTCCTCCTTCTCCTGCTCCTCCTGCTCCTCCTCCCCTTCTTCCTCTCCTCCTCCTCCTCCTCCTTTTTCTCTCACTGTTCTTCTCGACCTGCCTTTTTTCAGTTCCCCTCGCTGCTTGCCCTGCGTGTTGAGCCGACGTGGCGTGCCTCCCACCCAGACCTCCGAATACGTGCTTTTTCGCGCAGCGCGCGCGCGCGCGCGCGCCCCCCCCCCCCCCAAGATCGGCCGTTCGTCGCGGCACGTCTTTCGACGGGACCCCGGCCCGCCACGGGGTTTCCGTTCTGGAGGCCGAAGGCCAGGAACAATCTGCACAGACGGTGGGCGCCCGGGTACGCGGTCCCCCTTCCCCCCCAGGGCGCCCGCACAGGGTATGTGGCAGCCTGGCCAGAGGCCGATGCGGATATGTTCGGGGTGGAGCCAACGACGGGACAACCATCGGGACAGCCGTCCCCATCCATCGAATAACCTCAGCTGGTCTATCTATTGGTTTCATTCCGTGTATATATATACATGTATGTATCTTTATGTATATGTATATGTATATGTATATGTACATGTATATGTATATGTATATGTATATGCATATATATATATATGTACATGTATATGTATATGTATATGTATATGTATATGTATATGTATATGTATATGTATATGAGTATGTATAGGTTTGTATATATATGCATATGTATATGTATATGTATATGTATATGTATATGTATATGTATATGTATATGTATATGTATATGCATATGTATATGTATATGTATATGTATATGTATATGTATATGTATGTGTATATGTATATATATATATATGTATATGTTTATGTATATGTATATGTATATGTATATGTATATGTATATGTATATGTATATGTATATGTATATGCATATGTATATGTATATGTATGTGTATGTGTATGTGTATGTGTATATGTATATGCATATGTATATGTATATGTATATGTACATGTATATGTATATGTATATGTATATGTATATGTATATGTATATGTATATGTATATGTATATGTATATGCATATGTATATGTATATGTATGTATGTATGTATGTATGTATGTATATATATATATATGTATGGCTCCCACTATCTATCAATGGATTTCCCTATCCATCTATCCATCGATCTCGCTACCAGAGGTTGGGGGGTGAGATCGAGGTGGAACGGAGAGCCCCCCACCGGGAAGTTGGTTTTGGTTTCGGGTTCGTGCCGTGCGTGCGGGCGAGGCGAAGCTGCGTGGGCGGGCGAGAGGAATGAGCCCGCTTTTGCTAGGGCGGGTCAAGGCAAGAAAGGTCGGCCCGCTGATGGACTGGCGTGGTCGGGGATGTCCCGCCGTGGTGTCCCGCCGTCGGTGTCCCGTCGGTGGCCCGCCGGTGTCCGCGGGCGGTGGCGGGGGGGTGTCCCGACGTGGTGGTGTCCCGTCGGTGCCCCGTCGGTGTCCCTTCGGTGTCCGGTCGGTGTCCCGTCGGTGTCCCGTCGGTGTCCCGTTGGCGTCGGAGTCCCGTCGGTGTGCCGTCGGTGTTTCGTCGGTGTGCCGTCGGCGTTCCGTCGGTGTGCCGTCGGTGTCCCGTATGTGTCCCGTCGGTGTCCCATCGGTGTCCGGTCGGTCGGTGTGCTGTCGGGGTCCCGCCGTCAGTGTCCCGTCGGTGTCTGGTGGATGCCCCGTCGGTGTCACGATTGGTGTCTCGATCGGTGTCCAGATTGGTGTCCGTGTTTTTCGCTAACGTCGCCAGTGTGTTGGCTTACTTATTTAATCGCTTCGCTCATTCCGCCGGCCCATACAGTCTCATGTCTGCCGTTTGCCCGAGGGCCTGGTGTCAATGCGGCGCTTTGGGGGTTCCTGGGGCCGCTTGGGGGACTCCTGGGGCGCTCGGGGGGGCATTTGGGGGGCCTCCTGGGGCCGCTTGGGGGACTCTTGGGGGCCTCCTGAGGGCCCCGTGGGGGCCTCTTGGGGCCTCTTAGGGGCCTCGTAGGGGCTTCTTAGGGCCGAGGGCTCGAAATGTTGTTTCGTGTTCCCTCTCTGGGGCCCCTTTGGGGGCGTTCTTGGGGCCCTCTTGGACCGTTTTGGAGGCTTCTTGGGCCGTCTTCGAGCCCTCTTGGGCCATCTTGGGGCCCTCTTGGGTGCCTCTTGGGCCCTCTTGGGGCGATCTTGGGGGCCTCTTGGGCCGTCTTGGGGCGTCGGGAAGCCGAAAAGGTGGAAGCTCCAAAATCTCTCAAAAACCTATGGAAAAACAATGATTTTTGCCTCCGGGGGCCCTATTGGGAGTGCTCTTGGAGGCCTCTTGGGGCGTCTGGGGGCTATCTTGGGCGTCTTGGAGCGATCTTGTGGCATGTCGGACCCCTCGTGTACCATCTTGGGGGCCTCTTGGGGGCCTCTTGGCCTTTCTTGGGGCTCTCGGGGACGTCTCGGAGCCCTGTTGGTGCGCTCATGGAGCGCTCGGGACCCGGCCGGGACCCGGCCGGGACCCGGCCGGGGACCGGCCGGGACCTGGTCGGGGTACTTTTCGTCCGGGGACCCCCAGGGGCCGCCCCGCGCGCGCGAACTAGAAAATTGTTAACCAGTTATCGGAGATCTTAGCACGCCTCTGGCCCGTTGGGCCGGCGAATTACCATCATGCGTTGTCGTCAAGTTCGTCGTCTTGCATCGTCGCCAACTCGTGAGGGCATCAGCAGCATCGCCACCATCACAATCATCGCAGTTGTCCTCAGTTGGTTCTCCCCCCTCAACGTCCTTTATCACCCGAAGGGTGTTCGTATAGGTAGATCTAATGGCCTTCTGCCTATCCCGCCACCGTGTCTGGGTTTGGGGGCAGAGTTCTCAGGGATGCTTCCTGGGGTCTCTTTGTTGGAGCGCTCTCGGGGGCCTCTTGGGGGCAGTTTTGGGGCTGCTTGGGAGCCTCTGGGGGCCTCTTGGTAGCCTCTCGTGGGCCTCTTGGGGCTTCCTGGGGCCCTCTCGGGGGCCTCTCGGGGGCTCTTGGGGGCTCTTGGCAGCCTCTTTCGGCCCTCTTGGGGCCTCCTGGGGGCCTCCCGGGCCGAGAGCTCGAAATGTCCATTCGGGTCCCCCGTCGGGGCCCCTCTTGGAGCTGTTTTGGGAGCCTGCGGCCGTCTTAGGCGCCTCTTGGGCTGTTTCGGGGCCATCTTGAGCCGCTCTAGGGCCCTTTTCGAGGCCTCTTGGGCCGTCTTGGGGGGCCTCCTGGGCCGCCTGGAGCGTCGGGAAGCCGAAGAGGCGAGAACGCCCAAACCTGTCGAACACCCAAGGAGCATCAGAGATTCTTGCTTCTTGGGAGGCCTCTCGGAGGCTTCTGGGACGTCTTGGGGACATCTTCGGTCGTCTGGTGGCCATCTTGTGCGTCTTCGGGCGATCGTTCGACAAGCACCTGGTCGGTGTGCATGTAGGTGAAGCAGGCAAGGGCCTCACCTGGACTGTGCAAATTGTCCTTACTGCCAGGTGTGCCCCAGGGCGCGGCAAGCGCCGAACTTGGGAGCCGGGGTCTGCGAGCGCGCCGCGGGCCGAGGAGATCACTTGCGGCGGGCAGCTTCGGAGGCTGGATCCCTCCGCGTGTGGGCTTGGTCTCCCGCTGGCCAGGAGGCGCCGCTGGCCCTCGTGTCTCCCTGGCCTTTCCCTCCACCACCTGCCTGCGCCTGCCGGTTTTGCTGCTTCCGCCACGCATTGTCCCTGTCGACGTCGATGCGCTGGTGCCGGCAGAAGGCTCTAGTGACATAGTAAGAGGCGAATGGGTCGTCCAAGAATTGCCAGCATAATCCATCGTAGCCGCCAGGGTTGTAGCGTCTTTGGCCCCGTCTCTTGCCACCCCTTATGTCACAAGCCCGGTACCAGCCCTCCACAAAGAGTGCCCCACAGGTGTCTTTGAGGCGGTTGATGAGCGCCGGCCAGGTCGCCATGCGCGGTTCTCCCTGGAAGCCCACTGCGGCGTCCAGAGGATATAGCACCGGGTCACCTCGTAGAGGCTGTCGTTTGGGTCGTTCTAGTCGCGGCGGCGGTACGTATGGTCATCCCCCCAATCGCGGGCGCTCTGGGTCGGAATCTGGCGTCAGTAGGAGGAGGTACTCCGGGAGGTCCTGGAGGGGCCGTCTGTGCCGTCCGTGTCCCAGCTGGCCTCCTCGGCGGCCCAGTGGCGCACTGAGCGCGATGCTGAGGCGTCGGGGGGCGCGCACCCCGCGCCACCTCTCCGAGGCTCGCAGGGCCAGGCTGCGAGTCGCCCCCCACGAGGGCATGGGCCACGTCGGCTGTGCCGGCGGGGCGGCCCCCCTGGGGTGAGCCAGGCCATCCGACGAAAGCATCTATACACCACCACCGTGCCAGGCCAGGGCCATCCAGGGTCCCAGGATGGTGTACAGACCCTCCTGGCCTCGGCCAGGATGGCGTATACACCATGCCAGGGCCAAGATGGCCCTGGCCTGGCACGGGGGTGGGGTGTAGATGCCGTCTGCGTAGGCCGGGTGCGCGCCGCCCCTCGCTGTCCCAGACCGCGAGAGCCGCTCGGCCCCCCTCCGGGCGCAGATCGGTGCTGCCTCGCCCACCGGCCGTGGCACCAAGTGTTGGGCGGCAGAGCGGCCCAGAGGTCGCCCACCGGCCTCGTCGGCTATAGGGCGTGCCAGCACGTGGGGCGCGCGCCGCCGCCGTGTCCCTGGCCGTCAGGTATAGTGGCCTGCCTGCACAGCCGGCGCGATGCCTCTGTGTGCTGCCGTGTGGCGGTTGGGCCGAGGGAGGGAGCGAAACCGAGGAGGTGTTCGTCGCCCGTCCTGGCGCTCCCCGGGCGGTCTGGGCCGCCCTCCAAGTTCTTTGGGCGGGGCGGGAGCGGATGCCCCTCCCCATCGCCGCATCTCTCGTCGCCTCTCGGGGCTGGCGCTGCGCCATTCTGCGGCTGCCTGCTCGTGCGGGGAGGGTGCGGCTTCGCCCTTGGCTGGTCCAGGAGCCTCGTCATCAGTACCCTTGCCAGCGGGGTCAGCCAGGTGGGCGGTCCTGACGCGCTGCGTCGGTTCCGCTGGTGGGCCGTCGTTTGGCCCTTCCTGGAGCGAGTGACTGTGGCCATCGGCTGCTGCACCCGTCGCCTGCTCCTGTGGCTGATCCGCGGCTGCCGTCTGCGGGGCCTCTACCGCTTCACCGGCTGTGGTGTGTCGGCGGCAGTAGGCGAGCACGGGGGCATTCGTCCTGCGGATGCCTTGGCGCGCCAGGAAGGATGCCAGGACATCCCCGTCGTGCCTGGGTGGATCAGCGCCGCGCAGGGCCACAGGAAGGTGATGCAGGAACTGTGGTCGCAGCAGCGGGTGTCGGTCTTTTTGCCTTTCATGTCTGACTCTGCGCTGGCCTGCTCCTGGACACAGCCCTTCCGCGCCTCCTCAGTGCCAGGGTGCAGCCGCCTGGCGCGGTCCACCATCGCGTTGTCTTGGCGGTCAGGTTTGCTGACTGGGTCGATCCGGCTGGCCTGGGCCACGGAGTCCACTGCGCGGTTCGCCAGCGCTGGGCATCCGGGCGGCGGGGCGGGATCCAGGTTTGGCGGCGCGGCAGCTGGATTTGCGGGCGCCAGGGCCACGTCGACGCGCGGCACATCCTGTAGGGGCGGCGGGTGCGCTGGCCAGGTGGCGCCCGCCTGTAGAAAAGGACAGCGCTGGAGTGAGGCCAGCTCCGAGTGTCTGTACGAAGTTCCCGAGGAGCTCCTCGCTTATCCGCATGGGGACCTTGGCGGCTCCCGCTGGGAGATCTGGCTGGTATCCGTCCCAGGCCGCGCGCTGCCTTCCCTCTGGCCCGATCGTCCAGGAGACCAAGTGGGCAAGCGTGAAATGCTGGCAGGTCCCCGCCCAGCTCCACACGCCCTGATCCAGGTGGCCGGCATCCAGGACCGTGCCGTCCTCCCACAGTGACATCAGGAATTGCCGCAGGAAGGGCTCCGCAAGCGCCGCCAGGGCCATGTTGCGGCCTTCCAGGTGCCTGCTGCAGAAGCTGACCAGTACTGGTTGATGGCCCGGGCGTAATTGCACCACATAGATAGCGCGATTTTTTCAGACACTGCGGCACGCTTGTTGATCGCTCACAGCACGAATTGTGCCACATTCGTTGTGCAACATGAATTGCGCCACATAGATTGCACAACAGTTATTGCACAACCGCATAAATAGCACCACGCATATTGCAGAGCATAGATTGCACGACGTAGATTGCACATTAAAAATATCCAGCTGCCCACGGCAAGTCCCGCCGCCGTGCCTGTGTTGTGGGGTATGAAGCCTATTGAATGATCTTCGGGATCATCTGGGAGGCCTTTCGGGGGCCTCGAGGCAGTTTTGGGGCCTCTTGGAGGCCTCTTGGGACCTCTTGGGCGCCTCTCCTGGGGGCCTCTTGGGGCGGAAGGCTCGGATTTTCAGTTCGTGTTCCCTCTCTGGGGCCCATCGGGGCCATGTTGGGCGCCTCTTGGGCCGTCTTGGTGTGCTCTTAGGCCGTCTTGGGGACCTCTTGGAGGCTTCTTTGGCCGTTTTGGGGTGGTGTTTGGGGCCTCTGGGGCCGCCGTCTTGGAGCGTCGGAAATCCGAATAACGATAGAGTCAAAATCATTGAAATATTTCAGGCAGATCAAGGAGTTTTGCCTCTTGGGGCTTTCTTGGGAGGCCTCTTGGAGGCCTGTTGGGGCGTCTAGAAGGCCTCGTAGGCCATCTGGAGGCCGTCTTGGGCGTCTTCGAGCGATCGTTCGGCGACTCGGGGCCTTTTGGACAGTCTTGGGCTTGGGGGCTTCCTGGGCCGTCATGGAACCCTTGGGGAGCCCCAGGGAGGCGCCATGGCCGCCCAGGGACCCCCCTTAATAGAGGTGGTGCAGTCGGGTGGGCGTGACCGGGGGGTTGGTGGGGTCCCTGAGAAGACTACAGAAACCCTACCAGGCAGCCCTTGGCATTCTTCCACGACTCAACGTGCCGCAGGCACGGTGGCGGATTGCACAATATATATATATATTATATATATATGTGTATATATATATTGCACCACACATGCTGCACGATATATGTATATCTACAGTATATATACATATTTATATATAGATAGAAAATCGCACCACACATATTGCCCCATAAATATTGCAACACAAAGTTGCACGAATTGTGTTTCGTGCCTGCTGCGCGCTTCTGATCGCTCATAACATCGACTGCACTACACAGCACATCACATATCGCACCACGTAGATTGTACAACATCTACTTCACATCATGCTTTGCGTAACATACGTCGCACCATACATATATCTTGCACCGCATAGCGCGCTCCACGTGCATTGGGCAACGCATATCTGCACCGCATAGAGGGTACCACATAGATTCTGCCACCTCTAGTGCACATGTATTGCACAGCCTAGAGTCCTAGAGACACGCTGTTTGGGTTCCACGCTGGCTAACATGTGGCAGCAAATCTCCAGGCGCCGACAGCGCCGAGCGCATTTTTTGTTGCATGTTGGTCGAAATCTCGAGGCGCCGGAGGTGCCGAGAGCGTTCGTCTGGCCAGGACAACCATCGAGATAATCATCGGGATAACCATCGGGACAGCCATCGGGACACCCGTCGGACACCCGTCGGGACAACCTTCGGGATAATTTTAGGCAGCGATCCCCGGCCCAGGATTGGCCTGGCCAGAAGTCTCTAGGTCTCCTAGATGGGGTCGGAGTACATGGGGTCGGAGGATCGCGCTGCATCGCCGATGCATCGCTGACGCGGCTCGATGCGGAGCCCGATTTCCTCCACGTCGACGTCGCCAATGCATCGCCCACGTTGACGATGCATCGCCGGTGCATCGCCGATGCATCGCTGATGCATTGCCGATGTATCGGCGATGCGGCGCGATCCTCCGACTCCATCTTTTCCGACCCCATCCAGGAGGCCTCTACAGGCAGCGATCCCCGGCCCAGGATTGGCTTGGCCAAAAGTCGGTACCAGTGTATACAGTAGGGGCCCGACCACAAGAAACCTTCCACACGAGACCCAACCCTGAGACCCCAGGACGTCCGTCGACTTTGGGCCTGGGCACGCCACGCTCTCCGTGGCAGGACCCTCGAAGCCCAAGACACCCAGGGCACCCTGGAGGCAAGCAGGGGGTGCTTCTCTGCACGGGCCCCCGCTGCAAAGCAGGTGGGTACCGTAGCAGCGCAGCGGAGACCGCGCTTCGCGCCCCGCGGCTTGGGGCCAGGGCCCTGCCCTGCCCTCGGTCGGGGGAGGAGGAGGAGGAGGAGGAGGAGGAGGAGGAGGAGGAGGAGGAGGAGGAGGAGGAGGAGGAGGAGGAGGAGGAGGAGGAGGAGGAGCACCGCGGGTGAGCGCGCGACGGCCAGGGCGGCTCTCGCTCTGCGCGGCGCGGAGCGCAGAGGCAGGTGGCCTGGAGAGCCTGCCACCGGCGAAGTGGTGTGTTCGTACGTCCGTATCGTCCACCCCCATGCCCACTCCCATCCCCATCCCCATCCAGACCCCCAGCATCCTTGCACCCCAGTTGGGGACACACACACCTCGAAACCCGAAGGGCACGGCCTACATCCCCCATCTAGGAGGTCAATCGGCCACCAGGGCCCAGGCCACGTTCGTGGGGACAGGGGTCGGTTAAACGATGCCCAGTACTGTGGCCCCCCAGAAGATCTCGACCCTTGCTCTCTGGGGCCGGTTTTTGCATGCCAAGGCGTTCTCTGGTCAGCCCGCGGCTCGGAAGTGGCCCCTAGAGGCCAAAACTGGCGGTCGGTGCTTGCACGACGCGAGCGTGGCCGTGTTCGCGGGTCAAGGATCGACAACCAGACGTGTCGTGGGGTCCTCTCTTGCCAGAATCTCTAGGGGAGTCCAGCCTTGGCCACGCGGAGCCTCGTGGAGGCAGAGCAAAACCCTCGACCTTCGATCCTTCGATGGGGGCCCAGGGCGCTGGCGTCCTCTGTGCCTCTGGCGTGCAGAGCCCCGCGGTGCCCGCGCGGCCCCCGTCAGCACGACAACTGGTCGTTCTCGAGGGAGGGCATCGACCGCGGCTGGCACGACATGGTTAGGAGCGCGCGCTGCGGCCCGCCGCCCCCCTGCGCACGCTCGTCCTCGTCCTCGTCGTCCCCGTCGTCCTCGTCCTCCTCGTGTGCCGTCGTCGCCCTGGCAGTCGTGGTCGTCGTCGCCTCCCCTCCCGCAAGCCCCCCCCTTGAAGCCTGCTGATCTGGCGTCGTCGTCGTGGTCATGCGTGCGCGTGAATTGTGATGACCGCGGCCAGTTTTCTCTCAATCATGTCCAGCTACTTCTGGCTTCTGTGCAGCAGTTTGCTGCACCCGAAGGTGCCACCGTCACCCCCCTAAGCGGCTGCGCCTGCCGCTGTCCTGCGAAGGGCTCGCACTGGCAGCCGCGATCGCCGTGGCCATTGCTGTGCCGTGTGGCGGCCGTTAGCTGGCGGCCTCTCGTGTGGGCGAAAAACCGGCCGCTGCTGTGGCGCAGCCGCGCCGTGGGCAACTCACCAGTCGGGGGCGGCCAAGAGGGGGGTGATGACTAGGGGGGGGGCGGGTGGATACCGTGGTGTGGGCCATGGCGTTCCCCCAGATCTCGTGGCGCCCCCTCTTCTTTCCTGGCGCCCCTGGCCCCCCTATATGGGCCGCGCACGTGCCGCCGGCCACGATTTGCACCCCCCCCCTCCCAGGAGCGAAAGAAGGACGTACATGTACATGAATCCACGCTCTTTTCGAGAGCACGCATTTCACAAATGTTCGTATAACGCGGCCGGTCTCGCGAATCGAGGGGCCGTGTTCATGTACATAGCTGGGGGCGTACGTCCTTTGTGGGCTCCCTACCCTCCCTGGGCGCCCCCCTCCTGGCCGCCACCGAGCGCCGTGGGCAGCTCACCAGGGGACCGCCCGACTCCGTGTGGGTGGGCGGTGCGGCCCGTGGCTCGGGCAGGGGCGCCAGGCCCTGCTCGACCGCCTCTCGCGGGCCCGCGCGGCACGCTCGGAGGTGCTTCCCGAACTGCCTCAACGACGAGGGCGCAATGGCGTTGACTCAGGAGGGGAAAAAACACACAGACACAATTAATCGTCGATCCCGAGGAAAATATGGGAAAATATGGGAAGTGGTGGGGAAGACAAAAACCCTGAAAATATAGGAATATATGCGGGAATCTTTTTATTTGTGTGTATTTATTTGTGTGTCCCAGTTTCCCTTCATTGACAACCGACGGGGCGTCTGTGCTTGGGTCGGGCGTGTCCCCCTACAGGCGGATTTTGGGCACATGCTCAGACACAGTCAGCAGACCATCAACACATCGGCCCCACGCTGTTTTTTGTCTAGTCCGGAGTTTCCCTCCTGCAGAGGGACACGCCCGAGATAGTGTCTGTGCGGATGAGTGGCACGCACTGTTGCCCCAAGCCGAGGCACCGCTTGAGTGCGACGAGGGGTGCGGCCAGCCACCAGCTCTCAAGCTCCAGGTAGGCAGCGGCCGCTGTTGCCTCATTTCTCCTGCAGCTGCCCTGTCACTTGCGCTGGGAGGAGGAGGAGGAGGAGGAGGAGGAGGAGGAGGAGGAGGAGGAGGAGGAGGAGGATGAGGAGGAGGAGGAGGGGCGGATGGAGACCTTGTGGCCGCCGATGCTCTGAGTGTCCAGTGCCCTCCGACGCCGAGGTCGCTCCCGGACGACTGGCGGACGTCTTCGGTTTCCTGGCGCGCTCTCGGATCGCAGTCGGGCTGAACGAGCAGCCAGCGTCAGATGGTTTCCAAGGGCTGTCGGTTTTGGACGGGGGCGCGGCGCCTGTCTCGGACGTGCTGCCGCCGAATGCCGAGAATGCCGACTTCAACATGCTGCCACTGGAGCCCAACCCACGGGCAGAGCGAGCGCGGTCGTTCAACAACGCTCGCGGCATCTGCACGGAGCTCAGCTCCATCTATGGTCCCAGGACAACATGGTGGCTGATGGAGGCATTCCATAAAGGGGGTCAGAGCCCCGTGGCTCGTCACCATTGGTGGCGCCAGATGCTGGGGGCCACCGCCGCCGAGCCAAGCATTGACAAGTACCTGTCTCCCTCGGAGCTGTTTGATTTGGGGGGGCAGTGCGACCAGTTCGACCTGCCCAGCAGCGCCGATTTCGAGTCGGCGGCCAGGTGCTGCCAGCTGTGTGGGGGCGGGGGAGCGGTACGCCGAGAAACTACAGTTCTTGGCGAAGGCAGGCAGGGCCGCCGCAGGAGTGGCTGCCCATCGGCATCTGTTTCATGGAGTGGCCCACGGCAAGAGCAAAGTGCTGACTCCACCGTCTCTGGCGAGCAGGAGGGCCAGATCCTGAAGGAGAGGCGCGAGGGTCGTGACGAGCAGAACCCAGCCGCAGTGGCTCCCTGTGGTTCGGGAGGCGCGTCGGGCGCGAGTTCCGGGACCGCCGGCAGCGACAACGACAAGATACCATCGAGTGGCCCCTGGAAGAGCCCGAGGGCGCAGGCGGAGGCCTAGCTGACCAGCCTCCCTGCCGACATTCGTCTGGCCGCCGTGCGCGTGGCGCCCCCTGCCGTGGGCAGCTGCTTTTAAGGAGGGAGACCACTGGCTTGCCATGGCTGTGCAGTCTCACCGAGATCTCTTCCCATTCACCCGTGTTGTTGCTTTGCCTGAGCTGTGCTCCACGGCCACTCGCGTGCGCTGGCTGCAGGAACGGATTGGAGCGCTTACTTCAACCGGATGCAGAGGTAGCTGGTCGTTTGCGCGACTTTGGGCTGCTTTCCTGGCTGGCGCCCTGTCCAGGCTTGCTTGTGCCTTCACCGCTTTTCCCGCGCAGCCGAGTGATGTAACTGTCCAGGGGACGTCGGTTGATGCACTGCTGCGTGGCTCAGGGGTCGCAGCGCGCCAGTTCGACCCAGCCCGCGTTGGCGAGATTGCGCGTGTCAGCGAGAGGCGCCGCCTCCTAAGTGAGCTGCGTGAAAGCACTTCGCCCAGGGATGTTTTGGACGATGTTGAGGTGCCTTTCGGGTTCCTGGCCCGTTGTTCTGTCCGCGTCTGCCGGAGGCGGGGGTGCTCGACGAGTCTCGCGGGGCTCCCGGGTGGCTTGCGACAGCCGCGTCAGTCGCGATCGACGTTCGGGGGATTTTTGCCACCGTCTTCTCAACGACTCCAAGTGGCCCGGGTCTCTGGTGCGACCGAGGGGGGGAGTGGCCGGGGGTGCTTATCTCGTCGCCGCCGGGGAACTGCTCGTGTGCCTCGCAAGAGCCTCGGGGCGCCGCCTCGCCCCTCGCGGGGCCCCCCTCGGAGTGGAGCGTCGCAGGCGCGTGATGTCGCATGTGTGAGCCCGTGAGCGAGCGCGACGCCAGGCACTGCAGGCTCTCTCCCCCCGCCGTAGGGTGCACGTGGCGGACAGAGCGTGGAGCTCAACAAAAAACCACGCCAGGCACAGCTACGACCGCGACCCGCCGAGCTCAACCAGTCCGTGCCCTGCTCGGCTCCACCGAGGACAGAGCTCGGCGGCCAGCTTGGCGACGTCGCAGCAGCTGCAGCAGCTGCGGCATCCGAATCAGCTGCGTCGGCTCCAGTGCTTACATCGGCACCAGGAGCTACATCAGACGCAGTGCCCGCAACAACTGCATCTGTTGTGTCAGCTACATCATCTACACCAGTTTCACTAACTACGTCAGCTACATCGGCAAATGCTACATCAGTCAGCCGCTAAGATACATCGCCTTCAGCAGCAACGGGTGCGCGCATGTGCCAAGGGCGCCAGCTACAGAAGCTGCGCCAACCCCCTAATGGGAACACGTCTGGCTTCCATCCTCCTCCCGCGTATGTGTATATGTTTTTGTATATATATATATACAGATATAGGTGCACATGCAGACCTCGATGCAGGTGTTTTCTTCTGTCCGCACCGAGCCGCCGCGCAAAGCACAGGCGGCAGACGATTACCTGAGGCGCCACCGCATGCGCGGCCTGTTGTGTGATGATGGTTCGTTTTTTTGCCAGTGTGCACCGAATGGTGATGATGTTTCCACAGACATATCTTTCGGTATGACAATTTGCAGCAACGACGAAACACGCGCAGCGAACTCATCGAACTAGGAGTAGTGTGTGTTTGTTTGTTTGTTTGTTTGTTTGTTTGTTTGTTTGTTTGTTTGTTTTGTGTGTGTGTGTGTGTGTGTGTGTGTGTGTGTGTGTGTGTGTGTGTGTGTGTGCGTGCGTGCGTGCGTGCGTGCGTGCGTGCGTGCGTGCGTGCGTGCGTGCGTGCGTGCGTGCGTGCGTGTGCGCGTGGGTGCGTGCGTGCGCGAGTGCGTGTTTGCGCGCTTGCGCGTGCGGCGACTCAGCCATGGTTCAGATCAGGGCCGTCCGCGTCGCGGCGCGCGCCGGCTTGCTCGGGGTTTCAGCCAGGGCGGTGCATCTTTCCGCGGCCTCGGCCAGGAGAGGTCTGCCGAGCTAACTGGCCAGCTGAGAGGGGGTCGAGCTCATGTGCGTGACCGATGTAAAAGGGGAGCGAACAATAACATAAAAACAAAGAAATCGGAGGTCCGCGCGGATTTCTCGGATCCGCGCTGGATCTCCCTGGCGGCGCCTCGTTTCTCGGATCCGTGCTGGATGCCCCTCGCGGCGCGCGCACCGGGGAGGGGGTCCAGCGCCGATCCGAGAAATCCGCGCGGATCGCAGAATTTATATGCTTGTGTCGTTGCTCGTTTCCCTCGATATGGCCCCCTCCGCCTCCTCCTCCTCCTCCTTCTCCTCCTCCTCCTCCTCCTCCTCCTCCTCATCATCATCATCGTAGTCGTCGTCATCATCGTCATCATTCAAAGCGATCGACCCTCGCAGACAATTCCAGCGCGAGCTCCAACTGCGTCTTCGATCTCACGACGCACGCCGCCTCGCGCCGTGAGCCGCGGGGCGCCGGGCCCGACGGGCGCGCCTCCTGCCGCCTGGGTGTGGGGGGCAAGAGGCCCCCAATCCCTAAGGGCTTGTCGACTTTTCGCCGATCGACTTGTGGGGAGCGAGCCAGAAAAATCCAGGTAAATGCAGATAAATCGAGGTAAATCCAGATAAATCCAGGCAAATCGAAACAAATCCGGGTAAATCCAAAGATCTCCGAGGAAAGGTGAAGCAACTCGCGGCCGCTCCAGCGCGAGTCGAAGGACGGCAGAAGTCGTTAAGCCTTTAACGACCCAAGAGGCCGCACGATGCGTTTTAAACTGCGACGGAGGCCCCCAAGACGCCCCAAGAGACCTTTGAGATGCCGCCCAACAGCGCCCCAGGAGGGCAAAATCGTTGACTTTCATGGACTTTTCATTTTTTGTGCACTCTCGCTGTTTCGTGTTTCCGGCGCTAAAGCACCGCCCAATAGGCTCCCAAAACCGCTCCCAGACGGCCCAAGAGGCCCCTAAGAGGGCCCCAAGACGGCCCAAGAGAGCCCCGAGACGGCCCCAAGAGGCCCCGAGGAAGCCCCCAAGAGGCCCCAAGAGGCCCCCAGGAGGCCCGAAGAGGCCCCCAAGAGGGCCCCAAGACGGCCCAAGAGAGCCCCGAGACGGCCCCAGAGCCGCCCAAGACGGCGCAAGAGGGTCCCAAGAAGGCACCAAGAGGGGCACAAGAGAGGGAACGCGAACTGAAAAATCAAGCTCTCCGCCCCAAGTCATCCCAAGAGGCGCCCGGGAAGCCCCAAGAGGCGCCCGGGAAGCCCCAAGAGGCCCCCAAGAAGCCCAAAAGAGGCTCCAAGAGGCCCCAAGACGGCACCCAAGAGGCTTCAAAACTCTTTCTAAGAGGCCCTGGAAGACCGGCCAAGAAGGTCCCAGGAGGCTCCGAGGAGGAGGCTCCGAGGAGGATGATCCTAAACTTCAAGAAATAGTCCAGGATGCTCCGAGGAGGCCCCCAGAGGCCCCCAAGAGAGCCCAAGAGGCCCCCAAGAGGCCCCCAATCGGCCTCAAGCAGCATCCAGGAGGCCGGAAAGAGGCCCCCAAGAGCCCAGCGGTCCGGGCGGGGGCCGAACGAACATTTCCAGCCCTGGGCACCCAGAAGCCCAACAGGAAGCCCTAAGAGTTCGACCATCCAGCGTAGATAGAACTTGGGCGCGCGCGAAGCGCGCGCGATGGTTCTAGTTTCTGTTTATGCCGCTGTTTCTTCCTCCACTCGGGCTGTGCGCTCCTTCTGTCAGCCCTGCGGCCCGGAGGACGGCCGACCTCACCCCCGAGCTCGGCTGGCTGAACTCCAACAACGAGCTCTGCGTCCGGGCCAGCTGCCAAGTCAAGATGGCGGGCCCGCCTCTCGCCCTCCCGCTCTCCCAGGCGCCCGCCGTCACGAGACGGGCCACGACGCCGTACACGGCCACGACCGGGCCTCTCCCCCACCCCGCCTCCGCCGTGCTGGACCTCTCGAGCCGGGTCGACGCGCGAGGGCCCCGGGGCCCGACCCCGGGCCCGGGCGCCAGCTCCGACTCCCACGGCGCCGGGACGTCAGCCCCGACGGCGCCAGCTCTTCGCGAGGCGCCGCCGCGGGCCGCCGTGGTCGGCCGCCGCGGCTGGCCGCCGCAGGCCGCCGCCGCCGGCCGCCGCCGGCCGCCGCGGGCCGCCGCCGGCCGCCTCCGTCCGTGCGGGCTTTGGCCGCTCGGTCAGTGTAGGGCGACGAGATCTATACATATCCACTGCTCTTGGCCAAGCCCATCCTGGGTCCAGGAGCGGTGTATATGTCCCCCTGGCTAGGCCACGAGGGCGTATGCACCGCTCCCGGGCCCAGGATGGGCCTGGCCAGGAGCAGTGGATATGTATAGATCTCGTAGCCCTACAGTGGGGGGCCATGTATTCACCGAGCGCGCTCCACTACTCGCAAAGTGCCTACTCGCAAACGTCCGAAAACACACATGCCTGTTTCGAGGCAGTTTCTCGTAGAGCCCCTGTGGCGGATCCAGGCCATGTGCGAGTGGCCACTTTGCGAGTGGTGGAGCGCGCTCGTCTAATAGATGTGGGGGTCAGAAAGGGTGCTCCTCTCTTGGGTAGCCTCTCCAGGGCACGGCACCCGCTTTCAGGGCCTCGAGCCACTCTTCCCGATGGCCGCAGAGAAGGAACGACGGCACACAGGCACAAGCTTTGGGCGCGCGTTCTTTTCTCCTCCGGGAGTTCGCAGTCGTTCCTGATCTCATGATGTTCCAACCTATCTGTAGCGTCGACCACCAGAGAGCATTTCGAGCGCCAGAGACAGCACCGAAGCTCGAGGGTTCCCACGCGCCGGGCCCTGGGAGGCGCTCGTCCGACGCTGCCTCGACACCCCCTCGACACTTTTTCCGGGTGCTCGAAATCGTTTCTGGGCTGCGGTCCTTACGTGCGACGGGAGCACCATGACTTTGATCCCGTGTCCGAGGTGGCCTGCTCCTTACGAGATTTGCTGCATGCAGCTGGTTTCGGCCCCGCCGAGGGGCCCCTTCCTCGATACATGGCCGCCTCCGGCGCCGGGAGGCGCCGGGAAAATCAGCTGCGTGAGCTGATTCCCACCCCCCCCCTTTGCTATCCCCCCCTTTCGCCCAGCCCGATAGAAGCACCCCTGCTTCGTAGAAGGCGCGGGCCTCGTCTACAGATGCAAGGCCGGCGCCTTCTAAGAAGCAGCCTCCTTCCAAGAAGCGCTCCCCGCTCCCTCCGCCCCCTGGTGCGCGCCGCCCAAGGAGAAGGAGGATGGCGAATCTTGCTCGGCGGATGTGTGGCGATGCCACTTCACCGAGCGCTTTCCGCTGCCTGCCCGGCCCGAGAGAGCGCAGTCGTTCCCGATCCCGTGTCCGAGGTGGGCGGCGGAGGGCTCGGAGCCCTCCGCCCCCTGCGGCGGCCGGCCCCGCGGGGGGCGCCCCGGCCGCCGCCCCTGGCCCGTGGGCTCCGCCTCGGGCGCCGCGGGGGCGCCGGGCAGGCGGACGGCATCAGCATCAACAGCGACTACAACTTCAGGAGCGCAGGGGGGGCTTCACCCCAGCATGCTTCTACTGATCGGGAGCGAGAGAAGGACGTGCGCGTACACGAGTCCACGCCGGTTTCGAGAGTTCGCACGGCGCGAGTGCTCGTAGCGCGCGGCCGGTCTCGCGAATCAAGGGGCCGTGTTCATGTACATGGCTGGGCGCGTACGTCCTTTGTGGGCTCCAAAACTATATGTGCGTCGCCCCCCCAAGATGAGTATAAGGGGGGAAGCGATTTACTACAAGAGGGGTATACTGTGTGTTTGGGTCGGACGCGCGCCTCCAAAGATAACATAGAGTGCTAGTATGTCTTTGTGCGTCACACAGGGGGGGGCCTGCGCTCGCGCGCCCCTCCCGCCCCGCTCCGCGTGTGGCTTTCGAGCGCGGCCTCCCTCTTGCCTCCAGGTCGGGCGCGTCTCCCTTGCAGGATGAGTATGCAGAGAGAGTGAACAAAAACAGTCAGGGGGCGATTTTTTGATCATTTCTGATGATTTTCGAGCGTTTCTGGAGTACTTTTGATTTTTCGTCCAAAATCCGCCTGTAGGAGGACACGCCCGACCTAACTCTTGCCTCTTCTCGTTCGCTTGGGCCAGGCGTTTGGGCGGAGCTTCCCCTCTCTCGACGATCGTACAGCGCGAAAGAACTCGGCGCGACCCCAATTCGGGGACGGCTTCCCAAGCGGCGTTGCCTGGCATTGCTTGCCGTTGCTTGGCATTGCTTGGCATTGCGTGGCATCGCATTGCTCTGCGTTGCTTGGCTTCGTTTTGCTTGGCATTGCTTTGCATTGCTCCGCATTGCTTCGCATTGCCTGGCATTGCTTCGCATTGCTTAGCATTGCTCGGCAATGCTTGGCATTACTTGGCATTGTTTGGTATCGCTCCGCATTGCTTGGATCTGCCTGGCATTGACTGGCACTGCTTGGCAACGCTTGGCATTGCTTGGCATTGTTTTGCATTGCTTGGCACTGTTTCGCATTGCCTGGCATTGACTGGCATTGACTGGCATTGCTCGGCGTTGCTCGGCGTTGCTTGGCATTGGCTTGGCATTTGCTAGCATTGTTTTGCATCGTTATGCATTGCTTGGCATGAGCTGGCATTGCTTTGTATTGCTTGGCGTTGCTTGGCACTACCTCGCATCGTTCCTTATCTACTGGTATTTGTTTGAGTTGCATTGTATTGCATTGCATTGCATTGCGTCGCGTTGCATTGCATTGCTATGCATTGCTTGGCGTTGCTTGGCATTCCGTGGCGTTGCTTGGCACGGCATGGCATCGCCTGAAACGCAGAAGACAGGCGGCAAGACAAATCCGTCCCGGGGAAACCCGCGGAGCCTGGGGAGCCCAAGGAAGGTTGGCCTGTCAACAATTGCACGGGAACCAGCCCACATGAGCCCGGGGAGCCCGCGGCACCCCGAGGAGCGCCGGTCGGCGCAGACCCCCTGTCCCACCCGCTCTTCAAAATCAAGCAAGAGCCCTTTGGGCTCCTCCTCCTTCTCCTCCTCCTCCTCCTCCACTTCCTACTTCCTCCTCCTCCTCCTCCTCCTCCTCCTTCTCCTCCTCCTCCTTCCCTCCTCCTCCTCCTCCTCCTCCTCCTCCTCCTCCTCCTCCAGTTGGGGACAGGCCCCAAAATCATAAGAACGGACGGCGGGGATTCTTTTCTAAAATGGGCCCTCGCCAGAGCGCCGCGCGCATCCGTCGTCAGAGCCTCAGACAGCTGTGCGGGCAGAGGGTGGTTGTCCCGTTGCCTGCGGCAAAAGTGCGCCATCGGGCCCATCGAGCCACTCTCTGCGTAGCGACCTTTTCGAGCACCGCGCAGAAGCCGTCAAATTCCTCGCTGCTGCTGCTACTGCTGCTGCTGCTGCTGCTCCTCCTCGTCCTCCTGCTGCTCCTCCTGCTGCTGCTGCTCCTCCTCCTCCTCCTCCGCCTCCTCCTCTCCTCCTCTCCTCCTCCTCCTCCTCCTCCTCCTCCTCCTCCTCCTCCTGCTCCTCCTCCTGCTCCTCTTCTTCTTCTTCCTCCTCCTCGTCCTGGCCGTCTTGGGTGCTGTGTTGGGTGCTGTCTTGGGCTCTTGTGCGGCAGTTTTGGCGCTCCCCTGGGGCCCTCTTAGGTTGTCTCGGTGCCCGCTCGGGACCGTCTCGGGGCTTTCTTGAGCTGTCCAGGAGCCCTCTTAGCCTGTGCTGAGCTGGCCAGGTGTCACCTTGAGGCTCTCAGTGGGCCCTTTGGGCCCTCAAAGATCACAAGTGAACCGATCTTCGATGGAAGAGCGCGGGAAGGGGAAAACATGGTAAAGCTGTGTAATTCATACCTTTGGCCTCTCGAGGTCCTCGCAGTCTTGCGGGTCTTGGAGCCTCTTGGGGGCCTCTTGGGGCAGATCCAGCGTCTCGCAATGGCTTTGGACCATCGTGGAACCGTCTCGGGCCCCTTTTGGGCCGTCTTAAGGACCCTCTTGGGCCGTCTTGGGTCCCTCCAGAGGTTGTCTTGGGCCAGCCTCAGGCTCTCCTTGGGTCGTTCTGAGCTGACTAATGGTCCTCTTGGGGCTCTGTGTGGGCCCCTTTGGGCCCTGGAAGACCACAAGCGAGCCGACCATCGACCGAAAGGCGTTGGACGCAGAAAACATTGCAAAGCCAATGGTGGTCAACGTTTCTGGCCTCTCGAGGCCCTCCTCCAGAGCGTCTTCAGGGTGCCTTGGGGCCTCTTTGGGCCTATTTGGTGCCTCTTTGGGGCTGCTGGTTGCCTCTTGAACCCAACGCTGAGCCATCTCGGCGTCCTGGGTGGCATGCCCTGGCCGTCTCCGATGCCTCGGACGGCTCTCGAGAGCCCCAGGGCCTCCTCCCTCCTCCTTCCTCCTCCTTCTCTCCTTCCTCCTCCTCCTCCTCCTTTTCCTCCCCCTCCTCCTCCTCCTCCTTCTTTTCCTCCTCCTCCTCCTCCTCCTCCTCCTCCTCCTCCTCCTCCTCCTCCTCCCCTCTCCCTCCTCTCCTCCTCCTACTCCTCCCCTCCTCCTCCTCCTCCTCCTTCTCCTACTCCTCCCCCTCCTCCTCCTTCTCCTCCTTCCTCCTCCTCCTCTTCGCCCCCCCCCACGCGGTCCTGGAGATGGCGCCAACACGCCGTCCAGGCCAGCCTCCCTCGCTGTTTGACGATACCCAGGAAGCCTCGGGAGGGAGGGCAGGTGCACGCAGGACTTGATGGTGAGAGCGGGTCGCTTCGACGATTGCATAATGCTTTCCAGACAGCGCTTCGCATTCTACCACGCCTCAACGTGCCATGGGGCGTTTTTTTGGTTCAATGTTTTACAGAGTGGGAGCTCTCGCTAGAGACTTCTTGAACTTTCGATCGCCGTGGTTCGTTCTTCTTGTTCGTTGCCCAGACGAGCGGCTACCTCCGCTCAAGCTTGGGCTCTCGCTTGAGCTCTTGGTCAGTCTTTCTGCCAGAGACGGTAAACGCTGCGCAGCAGCTGCATGGACGGAGGGCGATCCCTGTCAACATGGATTATGGATGCCGCTTCGTAAGCCGTTTGATCATACCTCTTGGCTCTTGGCACGTCTCTCAGCGAGACGGATCGAAGGCCGACCCGTCTCAAGACGGAGATCTCGCCTGAGTGCAGTGGGACCGAGGTATCAGGCGCCCTCCCATCAGGGTGCCTGACATCTCGGTCCCACTGTACGAGGAACATCAGGGTGCCTGAGTACGAGGAACATCAGGGTGCCCTCCCTTGAACGGACCTCGATGGAGGTCGGTCCAGGCAGGGCACCCTGATGTTCTTCGTGATTGCCGGATGCTCTCGCGCATCCCGTGGAGGGGCACCCTCGAGTGGTCTTCGGTCTGGCCGGCGGAGGGTCTCCTGTTCTTGCAGGATGCTATGATGTCCCTGGTCCGACCGCAGCCGGTCCCTGGGACGCCCGCGTCGTTCGAGGGGCGCTCCCCGTGTCAGGAGGGGAAGAAACACACAGACACAATTAATCCTCGATTCCCCAGGAAAATATGGGAAAATATGGGAAGTGGTGGGGAAGACAAAAACACAGAAAATATGGGAAAATATGGAGCATATGTTTATTTGTGTGTATTTGTTTGTGTGTCCTGGGGCCCCTTCAAATATATCCCTATCCACCGCCCGCTGGGGCACCGGGACGTCGGTTCCCGGGCGGTGGATCTGGACAAGTCCCCGCCTCGCAGGAGGGCGCCTCGGGGACGGGAGGGCGTGCTGCAGCACCGCCGATGCACCCTGGGCTTGCTCTTTCTGGTCCTCTTCCCTCGGGTCCTCCCTCTCGCGGTTCCTCCTCTCGGTCCTCTTCTCTCCGGCCCTCCTCCTTCTCACGGTTCCGCCTCCTGGTCTTCTTTTTTCTGGTCCTCCCTCTCACGGTTCCGCCTCCTGGTCTTCTTTTTTCTGGTCCTCCATGCCAGTCCTCCCTTCGGGGCTCGAAGAGGCAGGGCTTAATGCTCCTGGGCCTGGAACGACAGTTTGAAGTCTTGAGCAGACGCGTATGGGATGACCGCCGTCGGATCCCATGAAGTTCGAGCGGATCCAACTTTGGTTTTGGTATCTGTTTCGGCGGATCCGATTGCCGTCCGCGCGGATTCGATATCGGATTTTCTGGATCCGCGTCAGGTCATATTTTTTACGGCGGGTCTGATGTCGTCCCCGTTTTGATTTTATAGGATTTAATGGAAACGGGGGACCAGAAAACATCTGATCCGCGGATCCCAGAACCCGTTGGTGTCAATATTCTACGGTGGAGAGGGGGTTAGGTCATCAATTTCCCAGGATGGGTCCTGCGCTGTCTCGCGCGCTGCTTCGCGCACTCCCATCAACTTTCCGCGCGCGCGGGCCCCACTCAACATGAATGCGTCTCTCTCTTCCCGGTTGCTGCGCGCAGCTCGTCCAGACGCCGTCCGTTCGGCGGCGCCGATGTTATCCCGCGAACTCGTCTTCGCCACTTCTCACCCGAGGAGGAAAGTGTTCCGTCCGGCGCAAGGGCATTTCGGCCCTGCGTCTCCTGCCCCAACGGACTGCCCGTGCGCTGTCTCGCACGATGGCGCGGCGCCTCGCGCTCGGCGCGGGTTCCGTCGTGACGCATCCTGACCGCCCCCCATCGGGGTCGCCCGCGCGGGGCCCGCCGCCGAGCGAGCACGTGGCGGGGGAACTCTTGTGAGGTGTGGCGTGTCGGCTGTGTGTTAGCCGGCGTGCCCGAAGGCCGAAGCGCCCACCCCCAAGAGTGGCATTTTTTCCTCCTGGGCCTGGAGCGACGGTTTTAGGTCTCGAGCAGACGCGCATGGGATAACCGCCGTCGAACCCCATGAAGTTCGCGCGGGTTCAATTTGAATTTTGATTTTCGCGGGTCCGATGTCCCATTTTCTGCATCCGCGTCAGGTCATATTTTCTTACGGTGGATCCGATTCCTATCCCGTTTTGAACTGATATGATTCATTTAAAACGGGGAATCAGCAACATTTGGATCCGCGGGCCCCGGGACCCGTCTGTGTCAAGATTCTACGCGAGAGGGGGTTCGGTCATCGGTTTCCCAGGATGGGTCTTGCGCTGTCTCGCGCGCTGCCTCGCGCACTCCCATCAACTTTCCGCGCGCGCGGGCCCCACTCAACATGAATGCGTCTCTCTCCTCCCGGTTGCTGCGCGCAGCTCGTCCAGACGCCATCTGTACGGCGGCACCGATGCTGTCTCGCGAACTCATCCTCGCCATTTGCACCTCAGGAGGAACGTGTTTCGTTTTGCGCAAATATTTGCCAGCTGATTCTGAAACATGATTGCGTGGATGCACCAGGTTTTCATATTATTTGCTGCATCGCCGCTCGCTTTTTTCGCGCGCAAGGAGGGCATATCACATGAAATGGGGTTGTGCGCATGTCAATGATCGGTCCAGTCCGTCTTAGTGTCGTAGACGGGTTCAATTCATCGTCGCTGTCGTTCAACCGCAGTGCGCAGTGGTCGCGGGTCACCTCGGCCAGCCCGCCTGCCCTGGGCGGGGCCGAAACGGGAGGGTAGGGTGACCCGCTTGTCCGCTCGGATTATGGTGATGATGATGCTGATTATTGTGATGATGATGCTGCTGCTGCTGCTGATGATGATGATGATGATGATGATGATGATGATGATGATGGTGACGGCAGTGGTGATGATGATGTTGATGCTGATGATGGTGGTAGTGATGGTAATGGTGATGGTGATGGTGACGATGGTAATGAAGCTGGTGATGATGACGATGATGATGATTGTGGTGGCCATGCTGCTGGTGATGATGCTGATTGTGGTGGTGGTGGTGGTGGTGGGGGTGGTAGTGCTGTGCTGTTGCAGATCATGGTGATGATGATATCGATGATGTCGGCGATTACTGCCATTAGGGTGGTGGTGGTGGTGGTGGTCGTGTGGTGGTGACGGTGATGGAAGTGGTGATGATGGTGTCGCCGACGATTATGTCCATGATGATGAAGAGAAGCATAAACAACATGATGATGATCAGGAAGATCGGAAAGGGAGGGGGAAGGAAAGAGAGAAAGAGGCAGCGGAGCACACTAGGAGGATGATTGGTTGAGGAGGAGGGGGGCTAGGAGGAGAAGAGCGAGGAGGGGAAGGAGGAGGAGTAGGAAGAGACGGAAAAAGGATGAGGAGGGGAATGAGGAGGAGGAAGAGGAGGAGGAGGAGGAATGGAGGAGGAGGAGGAGGAGGTATTGGAGGAACAGGAATAATGCGAATATTTGCTATATCGCGAATACTCAATAATAAGATAGCTAATACCACCAATCCCAATAGTACCGTTCATATTAGTAATCAAAATATAACGACTAGTCATAGCACTAATCATATTATATCAAAAGAAGAGTAACCCTAATACGAATGAGAAGCATGATATTACGAATAGTAAGAACAGTTTTAGGAATGACAATAACAATGAGCATACCACGAAGACACATGCGAGGCCTATCAACACCACTACCAATAACATACTGATGCTACTAATAAGAATGCGGCGGCGAATCATACCTCGCAGCATAATGCGGGTAACAAGACACATGCTACGAATACCAATACTAGTAACACCAGGGCGAGCAACCATGCTACTCATACGGATCATACTAATACGAATGCGAAGAATAATAAGAAGACGAATCAGTGTAATGCTAAGACGAACGTTGATACTTCGAACAATATCACGGATCAGACGAAGACTAATCATACGACGAACTATAATACTAAGGTGAAGACTGAACAAACGTAAGACGCCGAATACTCATACTAATGCTTAGAACAAGACTAACAGTACTGTGCAGACGAATAAGATTAATAGTCGTAATCAGAATACCAGCAATACCAAGCATACGAATACGATCAGGAACGATACGACTATGAATACTACGCATACGAATGAGTTTTCAAATGCTCAGGCGACCATCACTAATCTATTCATATTACGCATATGTAGGCAGTACTTTAATACTACTAAGACTGCTGCCGCTGATAACAGTAATAATAACCATCATAATGATCAAAAGAAGAATACTAATAATACTACGGGCAAGGGGATCATGACGACTCAGTATAACATACTATTGCTAATCATAGTAACCATAATAATAGTCAAACTAACATTAATCATACTCACACTAAAGTCGATAATATGAATACTAGGAATACATGTGATCGTATAATACTATTCAGAATACACATTTGACGAGGAGGACGTGGAGAAGGTGGAGGAGGAGGAGGAGCAGGAGGAGGAGGACGAGGAGGAGGAGGAGGAGGACGAGGAGGAGCAGGAGGAGGAGCAGGAGGAGGAGGAGGAGCAGGAGGAGGAGTAGGAGGAGGAGGACAAGGAGGGAGAGGACGAGGAGCAGGAGGAGGAGAAGGAGGAGGAACAGGACGAGGAGGAGGAGGAGGAGCAGGAGGAGGAGCAGGAGGAGGAGGAGGAGGAGCAGGAGCAGTAGCAGGAGGAGGAGGAGAGGAGGAGGAGGAGGAGGAGGAGGAGGAGGAGGAGAACATAAGAAAAATGATAATGAGGACGAAGGGAAGCGAAGAGGATGATGATGAGGAGAAGGGAGGAGGAGGAGGAGGAGGAGGAGGAAGAGGAGGAGGAGGATGAGCAGGAGGAGGAGGAGGAGGAGGAGGAGGAGGAGGAGGACAGGAGAAGGACAGAAGAGGAGGACAGAGGAGGAGGATGATGATGAGGAGGAGCAGGAGGAGGAGGGGCATGACGAGGACGAGGAGGAGGAGGAGAAGGAGGAGGACGAGGAGGAGGAGGAAGAAGAAGAGAACAGAGCAGGAGGAGCAGGAGGAGGAGGAGGAGGAGAAGGAGGACTAGGAGAAAGAGGAGGAAGATGAGGAGGAGGAGGAGGAGGAGGAGGTGGAGAAGGAGGAGGACACATGGAAGCCCAAGAATCACCAACAATGTTGGAACAAACCCACCCTCCAAGCTCCCGCTTCATAGGCCCCTACAAAGGTTCATTTCCACAGGGAACTGCTTCGTTGGAAGAGAACCGCTTGAAGACCCTGATGCATGCCAAAACATCGTTCTCGGGATTCCAACGTCACGGATCAACCTGACTGTTGCGTTTTGACGCTCCGGAATCGTACCAGCCCGCCATTCTTGGAACGTCAACGCCACGAATCAACGTATTTGTTGCGCCCTCAAAATACTGAATCCTTCCAAAACGCCATTTCTGGTACGCGGATCATGGGAATCCGTGGAACTTTCGCAATGTTTCAAAACGAATGTGTGCGGCGCTAAGGCGAGGGCCACAGTTTGAAAAGGAACTGCCCTCAATCCGTGAAACTCTTGCAATGTTTCGAATGTGCGCGGCGCTACGGCGAGAGCCACATTTGAAAACGGCCCGCCCTCAATCCGTGAAGCTCTGGCAGATTGTTGAAACCAATGTGCGCGGCGCTGAGACGGCGAGAGCCATATTCTGAAAACCACCCGCCCTAGGAGGAGGAGGAGGAGGAGGAGAAGGAGGAGGAGGAGGAGGAGGGGGAGGGGGAGGAGGAGGAGGAGATATCTATAAGGAGAAGGAATGGAGGAGGAGGAGGCGCGCGTGGCCTGCATTCGATGCGGCGTGGCGCGCGACTTCCTGTGAGGTCGACGAGCGTGCCAGGTGCTCAGAGCAAACATGTAGCGCCGCTGCAGTGACCTTTCCTTCGAGAGACTCAGGGCTGAGGTGGGCGGACGGGCGGCAGAAGCACGTCGAGGGAAGTTCTGCTGGCGGAGGCTGGCGGAAGTAGGAAGCGACCTGCCAAGAGATGTCAGCGCCGGCGCACCCAGGGGGCCTCTGTGGAGCTGGCCAGATGGAAGGAGAGAGAGGCACGATCCGCCACCAGGCCTCCGCAGGCGCAGCCCTGGGCCCACCCAATGGCGAGCAGCGGCCGCTGGCCAGGCGGTGCCCGCGCAGAGCTGCCCCCCCCCCCCTCCCCCCGAAGGTGGGCCGGCGATGTCGGGTTGGTGCTCCCCCCTCTACCGCCAGGGTGTACATCCAGTGTCCACCGCCTCGGAGTCGTGCCCTGGGACGCCGAGGGCGTCTCGAGGAGTTGCGGACGTGCGTGTCTGCCCGCCGCCTCGGGCGGGAAAGCATCCACATCCACGGCCTCCCGGGGACTCAGGGCAGGACTCCAGCAGCAGTGAATGTGGATGTTTCCTGGCGGTGCGCGCTGGGCAACCGTGCTGCCACCCGCAGGAGAGAAACGGGATTCATCGGCCTCATGAACCATGGCGCCACCTGCTACATGAACGGCCTCCTGCAGAGCTTGTTCCACCTCGGCGAGTTTAGGCGGCGCCAGCCCAGCTGAGTCGGTCGGTCGATCGATGCCGCGAGCATTGCGGAGACCCCGAGGGTGTCCGACGAGAACCCAAGCGTGGTCTGATACTTACAGGGTCTTGTGGTGTGGTCGCGCGAGAACGCTTTCAGAAGGCCCGAGATTGGCGAGGGAGGGAACCTGTTGGCGCCGAGGCGAGCCAGGCCCACAGGCCGCGCGGGAGTGTGCGCTGTGGGCCCTGGTCACGACCAGCTGGCCACCTTCTCCCAGTCCTCCTCGCCCCCACCCCTCCTGTTGGGTCGGGCGAAAGGGGGGGTTGGGAAAGGGGGGGTTACGAAGTCTGCTGCATGCAGCTGGCTTCGGCCCCGCCGCCGGACCCATTCCTCGATACACGGGCGCCTCCCGGCGCCGGGCGGCGCCGGCAAAACCAGCTACGCGAGCTGATTCTCAAACTCCCCCTTTGCTATCCCCCCCTTTCGCCCGGCCCGATCCCGCCCACCCCGTCGTGTGTGGCGCCGGCCCCGTCCCCTGGGCCGCCGTCGCGATTCCGGCGTTGCCGCTCCATCGGCCCTGCAGCCCTCGGCCGGAGGGGCCGTCCCCGCGGCCTGGCCGTGCCACGTCTCCAGCGGGTCACACTCCCTTGCCTGCCCACACCTGCTTGCTTCCTCCTCCTCCTCGCCCTCCTCGTCATCTTCCTTCTTCCCTCCCTCCTTCTTCTTCCTTTGCCTCCTCCTTCTGCTACCCTTCCTTGTCCTCCTACGCCCCTCTCCTCCCCCTTGCCCCCCCCCCTCCCTCTCCCCTTCCACTTTGCCTTCCCCTCCCCCTTCTCTTCCCCCTACTCCTTCCCTTTCGACCTCCCCGTCGTCCTCCGGAGCTGAGCCCTCCTTCTTCTGACGAGCGCGCGCCAGGCGCATAGTCTACAGCATCGATTGTGACGAGTCGCCCGACAGTCCCGGTAAGGACGCTGCCGCTGCTGCTTTCGCGCCGCAGCCCAGGGCTCGTGCCGCTTCAAACGCGTGTCTTCACCTGGCAGCTTGGTTTTTAGCCCTGTCGAGCTCGCTGTCTGGCATTTCAGGCGACGAAATGAGGGGAGGGAGGGAGCGCGTGGGAGGGGAGGGGTGAGGAGGAGGGGGAGGAGGAGGAGGAGGAGGAGGAGGAGGAGGAGGAGGAAGAGGAGGAGGAGGAGGAGGAGGAGGAGGAGGAGGAGGAGGAGGAGGAGGATGAGGGCGAGAAGGGGGCGAGGAGGAGGGGCGAGGAGGAGGGGGCAGAGCCCGCGCGCAAGGACGACGCAGCCGGCGAGCCCTCGAGGGCCGACGCCGACGGGGACGGCGCGCGAGCCCCCGCCCTCCCCACTGGCGCCGGCGGGCGAGCGGCGAGTGTGTGGAGGGGAATTGTCAGGAGAGGAAAAAACACACAGACACAATTAATCCTCGAATTCTCAGAAAATATAGGAAAATATGGGAATTGGGGGGGGAAGACAGAAATCCAGAACATATGGGAAAATATGGGGAATCTTTTTATTTGTGTGTATTTATTTGTGTGTCCTGGGGCCCCTTCAAACTGAGCAGGTCCGAGGGTCAGAGAGCGCCTTCCTCTGCAGGACCACCCAAAACAGGGACGTCGAGGTGGCTTCAACGCCTTTGCCGATTGAGCCGACGAAGATGTGCAACGTCCAACCGTTCGCTCATTTGCAAAGTTTTGGCTTGACGCCCAGTGTGGTGCATCAGTTTCAGCTTGACCGAACAGGTTGATTGCGCCCCTTGACGTCCGTTTGGGGTGTTCTGCAGACCTGACCCCCCAGCCCTACTCATGAGAGGAATCGCGGTGACCGTCCGAGTGGGACATGTTATCGTCAGTCAGTCATGGAAGAAGAGAAGCGGCAAACACATTTGTTTTGGCGGCCCGCGCAGCTTTGCCTGCGCGGCTTTCCTGGATCCGCGCTGGGCCCCCTGGCGGCGCCTCTGGCGACGGCCCAAGAGATCCGCGTGATCGTCAGTCAGTCATGGAAGAAGAGAAACGGCATAAACATATTTGTTTTGACGGCCTGCGCAGTTTTCTTGGATCCGTGCAGGGCCCCCTTGTCGGCGCCTCCGGCGCCGATCCAAGGAACCGCGTCGGATCGTCAACAGTTTGTGTTTATACAGTTTTCTGATCCTCTAAGGGGATAGTCAGTCAGTCAGTGGGCCGTGCATCTTGTGGACGCGTAGGCAGTGCAATTAAGACGTTAGAGTGGTGCGCCAAGCGCGTCCCAAGTAATGGTGGTGCGTCAATCGCGTCCCACACGAAACGACAGCAGTCCGCCAGGGATCGCGACGACCGAAATGGGCACGGAAATAATTGGTACAAAGACCGACAGCATTTCTTGTTCATGTGGGGCAGGGCTCGCTGTGTGGACCTTGTCCATTTGAGACAGAAGGCCGCTTGCCCAAATGCAGCCGCTGTTGGTTTTGTTCAAGATTTGTTGATGGGCATTGTACCCATTTTTCCTTAATAGCGTGTCGCTAGAGGGTTGTAACAAGATTTTCTCTCGCCAGAGTCTCCTCAGTGGGGGCCGTAAGGAGACGTCTCCCAGGCCAGGCGGCTGTTCAGCGCGGTCCAGAATCGACTCACTACAGTGTTCTGGTTCGTTTTGGCCCAGAAATGCGACTCACTATGATGTTCTGGCTCGATTTGGCTCACAAGTGCGACTCACCATAATGTTTTGGCTTGATCTCCGCTTTCCAGATCCGGAAATGAGACTCACTGAGGTGTTCTGGCTCAATTTGGCCCAGAAATGAGGCTCACTATTGTGTTCTGGCTCGGTTTCGTTTTGTCAGAATCTTCATTCAGGTGTTCGGGCTCGATATAGTCTAGAAATGAGATTGTTACGTTGTGTCTCGATTTCCTTTCGCCAGAGTCTCCACACGGGGAGGCCGGGGGCTTGGGGGAGGCGTCTCACCGGCCGAGGCGTCTAGCCGGCCCAGCGGCTGTCCGGAATCGACTCAGTATAGTGTTCTTCGGGGGCTGCAGAGAGGGGGTTGATGATTAGGGGGGGGTGGATACCATGGCGTGGGCCATGATATTTCCCCAGATTTCATGGCGCCTCTTCCTATTTCATGACGTCCCCAGCCCCCCCCCCTGGGCCACGCACATGCCGCCGGTCATGATTTGCACCCACCCCTCTTGGACGCCCCCCTCTTGGCCGCCCCCGAGTTCTGACCGATATCAGCCGTCGCAAATCCAGGAACGCGACCCACCATTGTGTTTTGGCTTTATTTGGTCCAGAAATGAAGCTCACTTTGGTGTTCTGGCTCGATTTCAGCCCTCCCAGATCCGGAGGTGAGACTCACCATAGTGTTCTGGCTCCAGTTGGTCAAGACATGAGACTCTTTATTGTGTTCGGGTTCCTTGTCAGTTCGGAGATTCTTTTCGCTAGAATCTCCACGGGTGCTGAGTGTTCGGGCTCGATTTTTGACTCTCCAGAAATGAGAGTCACTCTGGTGTTCTGGCTCGGCTTGGTCCCGAAATGAGGCTCGCCATTTCGTTCTGGCTCGATCTGACCCTCCCAGATCCAGAAATGAGGCTCAGTATGGTGGTCTGGCTCGATTTAGACTTGCTATGGTGTTCTGGCTCGATCTCAGTTCACAGATTCGTTTCGCTGATTTTGGCCCTCGCAAATCCAGAAGTGAGACTCATTATGATATTTTGGCTCGATTCAGCCGTCGCAGTTTCAGAAGTTGTGGCAGCGGTATTTGATTCCCACCATTCCAGCTGCCTTGATTGGGATCGCTCGGTCCTTAATGCTGTTCCAATCGCTTTCGTGCCACCATGTCGACATCACGAGCGTCGCCCTCATCATGAAGGTCAGCTCCGTAATCGTATCGACATTATCGTTCTCGCAAGCCGCTATTCGGGTGCTTTGTTGGGGGAGTCTCTGTATCCATGTCGGCGTCCAGTTCAAATGGGACGTGGCGGTAGGAAGGGAACGCCATTTGTTATCGAAGACGCCTACGGCGAATCACCGCTGCCCCCTGCTTGCTAGGATGCGCCCATGTGGCGAAGCATCTGGCCATTGTTTGGCCGCGCTATTGGGCCATGCGATCCCCCAGCCGCTGTGGAAGCCCTTCGGTGAAAGCGTGGGGGAGTAAGAGGAAAAGGAGGCCGACAATGAGAAGGATGGCAAGGAGAAGGGACGGAACAAGGATGACAAGGAGGAAGAGGAGGATGACAAGGAGAAGGATGACAAGGAGAAGGATGACAAGGAGGATGACAAGGAAGGGAGGAAGAGGAGGAAAAGGAGGATGACAAGGAGAAGGATGACAAGGAAGAGGAGAGGGACGGAACAAGGATGACAAGGAGGAGGATGAAGAGACTTCTCGGGAGTTTCTTGGGTCAGTCTTGGGGCCTCCTCGGAGTTCCCATGGGGGCTCCTTGCGAGGCCTCTTGGGGGGGCCTCCTCGGGTATCTTGGGGGGACGGCCCAAGAGGCCCACCCCAGAAGGGCACCCGAGAGGGCTCGATGAGGCCAGAAACATTGGTGTCTCATGGTTCTGTAATATTGCTAAGGCCTTACGGCCGGTGCCGCCGACCCTGGAGGCCTCGGCCCTCGACGGAACTGGGAGGGAGAGGGCGGGCTATGGGCCCTGGGAGGGCGGTATTCTGACCCGGGGCCCCCCCTGGGACCCCCGTCCGGGACCCCCCCCCTTCGAGTAAGCACCGACGTTGGTTTTCAATGGTTTTGTCATATTTTTGGGTTTTCGTTCTCTGGGGCCAAGAACGGCCCAAGATGGCCCCGAAGATCACCCCACAACGGCCTAAGAGGCTTCCAAGAGGCTCGAAAACGGCATACGAGAGCCACGAAACGGCCCAAGAGGGGCCCAGAAAAGGGCCCCAGAGGCCCCCAAGAGAACGCCCAGAGGGCCATGGGAGGCCGCCGCGAGGGTGTCTTCGGGGCCTCTTGGGCCGTCTTGGAGCGTCGGAAGCTTGAGGAGTCGGGCACCTCCAAAACATTGGAAAACCAAAGGAGAATCAACGATCTTGGCCTCTCGAGGCCCTCTTTTGGGGAGGCTCTTGGGGCTGTCCTTGGGCGCCTCGCCTCGAAGGCTCCGTGTGCCGTCTCGGGGCAACCGTCGATCGTGCAGCGATTCGGGGCCCTCCTTTCCGCCCTCTCCTTGGACCGCCCTGCTCTCCTCTTCCCGCCCGTGGCGTCCGAGAAGTCGGCCGACGAGCCTCAGCACGAGCGGCTGCCGAATCCACCAAAATCCCGACGCCTCTGAAGGGGAGAGTGACGGGGAATTTTGGAGAGAATTTTTGGTTGACGCCTTTCTAGTCGCCGCTCACCAAGCCACCCCAACCCAACCCGGAGGCGCCGATTGGCTCCTCATTTCCAGTGCGGGAGGGGGGTGGGTCGGGGAACATTGAACAAAATCACGTATGAAGCCCGTACCTCCCCCAACCCGAAGTTCGGGTCCTCGGGTTGGGTTGGGGTGGTCTGGTAGGTAATCGTTTAGGACAGACCCATACCATATGGTAGGGTCGTGTCGTGTCGACCGGCGGCGACCCCGGCAGCGGCGTTCAACGTTGAACGCCGCGGGCGACCCAGAATCGTTCGATGTGGAACGATTTGGACGTTCCGGAAACGGCCGATCGTTCAAGGCTGAACGATCCCCGCGGTGTCAGAAACCGATTCCGAAGTCGATGCGACAAGAACCTGCCGTACCATACCATATTTCCCGCCAGTGTTAAGTCGGGCGTGTCCCTCTACAGGAGGAATATTCAAAATAGTGAAAAACTAGTTTGGGGACGATTTTTGAGTGTTTTTTGACCATTTTGGGGCATTTGACGAATATTTTTCATTTCTCGGCCAAAATCCGCCTGTAGGGGGACAGGCCCGACTTAACGCCAGTGGCCCCATCCTTGGCACCACCCCTGCCGCCACCCCGGGCCCGGTCGGTGCATGCGCCCTCCTGGCCGCTCCGCTCCGCCGCTCCTCGGGCCGGGCGTCGGTGCAGGTCTGCAGCGGGTGTCCTCTCTCTCGGGGGCGGCCAAGGGGGGGGGGGGCGAGGTCCAGAGGCGTGTGTGGATAGCATGGCGTGGGCCACGATAGTTCCCCAGAGTTCATGGCGCCCATTACGTCCCTGGCCCCCCCCCTGGGCCGCGCACATGCCTCCGGCCATGATTTGTGCCCCCCCCTCTTGGACGACCCCCTTTTGGCCGCTCCCGGCTCTCCTCCCACTGTCTACCCTTGAGTCGGGCATGTCCCCCTACAGGAGGAATACTCAAGAATAATTAAGAAAACAGTCTGGTGACGTTTTTGTCTGGCTTGTTTGATTATTTGTTGATCCTCCTTAGAGTGATTTGACTTTTCTTCCAAAATCCGCCTGAAGGAAGACATGCCCGACCTACGTCTACCCTCATTTCGGCGGCGAGCCAGGGGTGAAGTGATACAGTCGGGGCCCTGAAGAAGGAACCCTTTTCGTTGGGGAGGGGCTCCGTGTTCCTTGATTGCTTCACAGTTTGCCTTGGGTTTTCCTTTGGTTTTCGATGGGAAATCGAAGTTCAACTTGTGGATGAAAGGGGCCTCGTTCCTTATTTAGGGTTCCTTGGGTTAACGCTCCGACTGGAAGGGGCGGGCCTTCTCAGAGGGCTCGGAAATCCCCCGGCCTCTTGGGAAGTTTTTGAGCCTTCCCTGACGACAAAGACACCGCAGACTTCTCCGAGGGCGCATGATGGGCTCGCCGCCGATCCTTCCCCTGCCGCGCCCGCGCCTGGCGGCGGAGTGCCCGTCGCCAGGCAAGTCGCCTTCGCTCATCTCGGCCCTGCAGAACGTGTTCTACCGGCTGCACACCTCCGACCAGGCCGCCCGCCCGCGCGCGCTGCCAAGGTCTCCGTCTCTGTTCTTCTCTGCGCCGTCTCTGCTTGTTGGTCTCTCTGCCTTCGTCCGTGCCTCCGTCCAAGGCCGTCGCCGTCGCGACCTGCCAATCGTATCGTTCGTTCGAGCTTGGTGCCCGCAGACGGTTACGCAGACGCCGTTCCCCCCGTCTCTGGGGGCGCGGTCCCTTTGTCCAGGGGGCTCTTTTTCTCGCCCCCCCACCCCTGTCTCGCCCAAGAGCTCACGCAGTGTGTCCGCGGGCGCGAGGGTCGCGATGTCCACCAGGAATCATGCGACGAATGCGCAGGACGCGGGATGGCGCGGCGCCTTCCCCCCCCCCCCCGGCGTTGAAGAGCAGTGCGTGCGCACTGTACGCTGTGCTCGTTCGCCGGTGTCGAGGCTTGGATGGTTCCGAGGTGAAGAAAAATACACAGGGCGGCAAGGGGGCGCGCCGCGCCTCCCCCTTTCCACATGCGTTTTCTCTGGAAACACAGCGCGCGCGTTCTGTCCGTGGGCGCAAGGGCGGCGGCGCCGACAGTAACCCGTGTGGAAAAGGCAGGGGGGCAGGGGATGGTGCGCTGCGCCCCCCACCGGCCTGGGAGGACAGACACAATGCGCACATGTTGTGTCCGTGTGCGCCAGGGTCGCGACGTTCACGGGAAACCGCATGGGGAAAGACGCAGGGGGGAGGGAAGTGGGCGCGCCGCGCCCCCCCGTTTCACCCCCCAGTTCCTCGTGGGAAAGCATTGTGCGCGAAGTGTGTCCGTGGGTGCAGGGGTCGCGATGCTCATCGGGGACCACGCGAACACGTGCAGAACAGGATGGGGGGCGCGGTGGAAACAGAGCATGTGGGGCGGGAGGACGGACCCTGCATGCGCTCAAACAGTCTGGGCGCAGTGGCCAGGCAGGAATCGACCCGCCCGCCGTCTTCGGTCGAGCCCAGGTCTCGGGCAGGTGACGCACGAAAGGGAGGGGGCGCAAGTTCGGGCGCGCCAAAAGCAGAACACATACGAACTTATGGGGGATTATGGGATCTGTGTGAAGGTATTTGCGTGTCCCTGGGTTCCTTCCCCCTCCCCCCCCTCTGCGCACTTCTCGTGCCTGCTGCAGGCGACTTCGGGGGGTAGGCCCTGCGTTCCCCCCGCTCAGATGTACGCGCCTCATTCCTTAGCTTGCATTTTATGTTGCCGCCTCCCTGGGCGCCTCGCCCCGGCATCCTGCTCATTTTTTGTTGTTGTTGTTTGGTAAGTTCATCCAGGGGCAGGTGGTGGTGGTGGGGAGGGGGAGGAGAAGTGCAGAGCACGGTCTGTTCGTATCCTTACGCGGGGACTGAATGGTTGTCGTCTGAGGCCGCCTGCGCAGGGTGGTGCGTATATGGAGAGACTGGACCGCATCCATCCTGCAGCGGTCGCGATGGAAGCACCAAGACGTCGCGACGTCCTACTGCAACCTCGGAGTGAGAGGCTGTAGCCCGCATTCCTGGTGCCTCGCCCCCACCCGCGCGCTCCAACTCGTCGGCCCTCGGCCCGGCCCTGCCCGCCCGGGCAGCACGGGGAGCAGTCGGAAAGGCCGCCCCCCCGTCGGTGGAACGCCTTGGCCCCTTGGCTTCGTCGTCGGCCGCCCAGCATCGTCGCCACCGAACGCTTCGAATCGTCAGTCCTCGACCCCGCCCTCCCCGCCCAGGCGTCCTCGGGAGCAGTCTGAATGGTTGCCCCTCCGTCGGTCGAGTCCCTTGGCCCCTTCCCACGGGCGCAGCCAGGCCGCAAATACTCTTTTTCCCAACCCTCCTCGTGTGTTGGGTACTAGTCTTGAATTCGCAGCGCGGCGCCCCACTTCCTTCTCCTCCTCCCCCTCCTCGTGTCCTCTTCCGCGTCACTAATCCCTCCACTTCCTCCTCTTCCTCCCTCTTCACAGCACTACCACAACCACCATCATTACCATCATAATCAACATCATCATCACCATCAGCATCATCATCAACTCCATCGTCATCACCATCTGCATCATCATCATCATCATCATCATCATCATCATCATCATCATCATCATCATCATCGTCATCGTCATCACTATCATCATCATCATCATTATCATCAGCATCATCATCATATTCTCATCAACATTATGAGCATCATCACCAGCATTGTCATCATCATCGCCACTACGAGCCACGCACATCATCACCGTCATCATCATCATCATCGCCACCACCATCATCACAATCAGCATCTTCACCACCATTAATCACCCTCATCATCACCACCATCATCATTACCATCACCATACTCACCATTATCTCCATCATCATCATCATCATTCTTTTTTGTCCTTATCCTCAGCACTACCATCATCCTCAACAATAACATCATCATTATCACCATCATCACCATCACCATCACCATCATCGCCATCGTCGTTGACATCATCAGTATTGCCATCATCGCCATCATCGTCATCGTCATGGTCATCGTCGTCATCATCATTACCACCATGATCATCATCATCAGCATCTTCGTCCTTCTCGTCATCATCACCATCACCACCATCATCACCGGCATCATCCTCAAATCACCATCATCACTATCCTCATCAACACCATCATCTCTACCACCACCACCATCGTCATCGTTATCATTATCATCATCATCCTCATCATAATCTGAATTATTATCATCATCATCGGCATCATCATCGTCATCGTCAGCGTCATCGCCTGCGTCATCGTTATCGTCATCGTCATCGTCATCGTGACCATCATCATCACCACCACCATCATAGCCATCGTTATTGTCATCACCACTACCATCATTATTACCATCATTGTACTTATCATTTTATCGTGTTGTCATTCTTATCATTTCTACTAAGTAATTTTTATTATCGTGGTTGTTATTCGTATTATGAGTCTGATTTTTATCATGATGTTTGTTTTTCTTCTTGTAATTACCATCGTACTGTCATTACCATTATCGTCAGCAGTGCTATTATTACCATTACTATTATATGATTATAATCATCGTCTTCGTCGTCGTCGCCGTCATCATCATCATCATCGTCATCATCATCTCGGCGCACACCTCACACGTTTCGTCGCCCAGAGGGGGCCCCACCGAAGGCCCCAGTGGCATGGTTAGCATGGCGCCTCACGTGCATCTCTGCGCACCCCTCGCACGCTTCGTGGCCCAGAGGGAGCGCCACCGAAGGCCCAGTGGGAGGGTCCGCATGGTTGCCCGCCCCATGTCGGTGCACCCCTCACACGTTTCGTGGCCCCATCATGGTGAACTCCAACGAAGGCCCCAGTGGCAGGGCTCTTGTAGCGCTTCGGGTGCATTTCCCTGCACCCCGTACACGTTGTGTGGCTTAGTAGGGAGTTCCACCGAAGGCCCCGTGCCGAGCGCGGTCCGACGTTCTCTGGCAAAGCTCTCAGGGGTACTGCGGACCCCCCCTGACGAGCTCTTGTGCTTCGAGCGCTCCTGCTAATAGTTGCCCCGCGTTTAGGTAGGGTAGGGTTCTTCGCCAGGGTGGTCTTGCTCGCCCCCGCTTTCCCCAGACATTCGCCCCGTTGCCACCCCGTCGCCACCCCGTCGCCGCGCGTCGCCGCCGCGCATCTGGCCCTGGGTTGCGGTTTGGCCGGCTTGTGTCCGCCCTTTGCATATATTCTCTTTTCAAAAAAGGAAACAGGGTCTATCACCCTCTCCCCCCCGGACTTATCGATTCCCTGGGAATCCATGCAAAACACGTATGATTCTGACCCAATGTCCATCCTACCGCTGCGAATTCATACTATCCCAGCCAAGCCGGTATCGGTCCCCCCTCGCTTCCCTTGCAAAACATAGTATACGGTGACATCTTTTGTTCTACTAACAGCATCTTTTCACGAATCCCTTGTATAGAATACAATGCGGGGCACACGCGCGCGGCCGCTGCGCGCATGACGAAATCCTTCCAAACACATGGTGCCTTCAACAATTTCATCATCCGCTTCGAGAAAACCAATCAAACCATACGACTTTCTCACCTGAAAATTCTGAAACATCTGCCCGCGCGCTCTTGCCGAATCCTTCAAAAACGAATGGTTTTACAACATTCCTGTCAAATCGGGCTTCTTGTGTAACTTTTGCGCGCACGTCGATCTCATTCAACAACGGTCGCGCGCCTGCCAGGGCCACAATCCCTTGTAAAAAATACCATGCGAGGCACATGCGCGCGGCCGCCGCGCGCGCAGGTCGAAATCCGTCCAAATACATCATGGTTTCAACAATGTCAAGACCGAGCTTAAAGAAATCACACGAATCGTACCATACATCCTCGAAACAGATCTGCAACAAAATCAAACATTCTACCCGCGCGCGCTTTCCGAATCCTTCAAAAACCAATGATTTTTTCAACATTCCTGTCACATCGGGCTTCTTGGGCAACTTATGCGCGCGCGTCGAACGCCTTCAACATCGGTCGTGCGCCTGCCAGGGCCACAATCCCTTGTAAAAAATACCATGCGGGGCACATGCGCGCGGCAACCGCGCGCGCATGTCTTGGTACCATTTGCCAAGTGCCATTTGGTACCCACCGTCACGGTCTTAAGAGGTCTTGCGACCAAGTTGCGGTTGGGAGGGTGTGATGTTTGCACGAGCAGTGGAGAGGACAGCTTCAAGACAGTCAAAGTGAATTGCACCACATAGCTTGCACCACAGGGATTGCACCACGTAGCTTACATCACACCTAATGCAACCATAAATCTTGCACCGCATAGAACGGTTAACATACGTTGCAGCACATCTTTCGTGCCCCATACACATATACATTGCATAGTACAGGTTGCACCATATACATTCGCACCATAGAGATTGCACCACATAGAGAGCACCACATAGCTTACACCACATATGCAGTTATATATACCTAGACATATATACATATATCTATATCATAACATTATACAGTAGCCGATTGTTTGATACTAGAATTCACCATGCTTTATTACATAGTGACTATATTATATTTGTTAGAATATATTCTATTTAGTTTATTCTGTTATTTCATGTCATATTATTTTCGTTTCTATTCCATTCGTATATTGTATTGCATTTGGGCTGCGTTGTATTGTATGGTATTGTATTGTACTGCATTGTATTATCGTGCGTTAGATTACATGATATGGTATTGTGTTGCATTGTGTTTGATTGCTTTGAATTATACATTTCAATATGGTACAACATTATATCATTTGCATGGCATGGTATTCTATTATATGCTATTGTGTTCTATGGCAATCTACGGAATTATATGGTATTGTATGGTATCATGTCACATATTCTCATCTATGTTATGGTTTTCTTTTGTATTAACTTGTCCTTTAAGGTTGTTATGTTATGTTATAGTGTACTTTTTGATATTCCCTTGTATTGTATTGTGTTATATCATGTCATATAATCCGTGTTCTAATAGATCATTCCAAATTGCTATGTAGCGTTCTATTGTTATTCTAGGTCATATTACACTACGTTCTATCATAGAGCAGTTTATTTTATTATAAGTTATTATGTTATGTTGTATGGTATGGTTTTTTAAAAACAAAATAGACTACATTATATTATATACGATTTTTTGGTATTGGACATAGTACTTTATATAACTTTGTATTGCATTATCTTATGTCCGATGATTGCTGTTACCATTACACATACAATTTTTTATATGTATGATACCACAGGAAAGAAGCCAAATCATAATCTTTTCAGGGCTACAGTGCTATGGGGCAATAGGGCTATAGGGCTATAGGGCTATAGGGTTATAGGACTGGGGCTATAGGGCCATCGGAGGTTGGGGGGTCTGTCCGACGTGAAACGGAGACCCCCCCCTACTGGGAAATCGATTTCGGTTTCGGGTTCGTGTCGTGCGTGCTGTGCGTGCGTGCGGGCGAGGCGAAGCTGCATAGGCGGGCGAGAGGAAATCCTCCTGTGGCTGGGCCGCGGCCGGACCAAATGTTTCTCCTCTGGCGGCTGGTGGCCCGCGGTGTCCCGCCGGTGTCCCGCTGGTGTCCCGAAATCCTCCTGTGGCTGGGCCGCGGCCGGACTTAATGTTTCTCCTCCGGCGGCTGGTGGCCCGCGGTGTCCCGTGGTGTCCCGTGGTGTCCCGTGGTGTCCCGTTGAGTGAGATCGATAGTGAGATCGATAGTGAGATCAATAGTGAGATCGATAGTGAGATCGATAGTGAGATCGATACTGAGATCGATGTGGTGCCTCGAGGTGTCCCGTGGTGTCCTGTGGTGTCCCGTTGAGTGAGATCGATAGTAAGATCGATAGGGAGATCGACAGGTGTCCCGTGGTGGCCCGTGATGTCCCGTTGAGTGAGATCGATAGTGAGATCGATAGTGAGATCGATGTGGTGTCACGAGGTGTCCCCTGGTGTCCTATGGTGTCCCGTTGAGTGAGATTGATAGTGAGATCGATAGTGAGACCGATAGTGAGATCGAGAGGTGTTCCGCGGTGTCCCGTGGTGTCCCGTGGTGGCCCGTGATGTCCCGTTGAGTGAGATCGATAGTGAGATCGACAAGTGTCACGTGGTGTCCCGTGGTGTCCCGTGGTGTCCTGTGGTGTTCCGTTGAGTGAGATCGATAGTGAGATCGATTGAGTCAGATGTTGGTTCCCCCCTCTCCCTCTCTCTCTTCCCCCCCACAACCTTCTTATCACCCGAAGGGTGGTCGTATAGGTAGGGCTATAGGGCTACAGGGCTACAGGGCTATAGGGCTATAGGGCTATAGGGCTATAAGGCTATACGGCTATAAGGCTATACGGCTATAGGGCTACAGGGCTATAGGGCTATAGGGCTATTGGGCTATAGGGCTATAGGGCTATAGGGCTATAGGGCTATTGGGCTATAGTACTATAAGGCTATGAGGCTACAGAGCTATAGGGCTAGAGGCTACTGGGGACCCAGGCACCTGGGCACCTGGGCACCCGGGCACCCGGGCACCCGGGCACCTGGGCACCCGGGCACCCGGGAATTTTGGCACCCGGGCACCCGGGCACCGGGGCACCCGTGCGTGCCGCCGAAATCGGCGCCTCACCTCACCTAACCAGACGAATCCGCTAGGACCCCTACAGAGGCAAGCTCTGATTGTGGAATGTATCGGAGTAGACCGGGGAGGGGGGCGGGCCGCTGCCTGTTCCCCCCATGGATGCCCGCTGGGGGTTGCAGGGGGGTTCCAGAGCTCCTGAGGCGGCCTGGGCCCGCCCCGAAACAGGCCGCGACAGGCTGAGGGGGTTCCGAGAGGGCCGAAGACGGTCCCAAGAGGCCGTGAAGACGCCCAAGCTGCCCTGAAGACGGCCGACGAGGTTTCCAACACGCTCCAGGACGGACTCAAGAGGCTCCCCAAGAGGGCCGTGGGAGGCTGAATTCATTCATTTTCCGAAGGGTTTTTGAAGGATTTTGGCGTTCTCGCTTTTCCCGCTTTTCAGCGCTCCCTCACGGCCTCGGATGCCCTTCAGATCGCTCCGAGACGGCCCACGAGGCCCCGAAGAGGGCCCCCAGGAGGCTCCCCAGACAACCCAAGTGTGCCCCAAGAGCTCCCCAAGAGGGAGCCAAGAGGGGTCCCGAGGCGGCCCAGGCCCGCCCCGAAACAGGCCACGACATGCTAAGGGGCCTCGAGAGGGCCAAAGACGGTCCCAAGAGGCCGTGAAGACGCCCAAGCTAAGCTGCCCTGAAGACGGCCGACGAGGACTCCAACACGCTCCAGGACGGACTCAAGAGGCTCCCCAAGAGGGCCATGGGAGGCTGAATTCATTGATTATCCGAAGGGTTTTTGAAGGATTTTGGCGTTCTCGCTGTTCCCGCTTTTCAGCGCTCCCTCACGGCCTCGGAGGCCCTTCAGATCGCTTCGAGACGGCCCACGAGGCCCCGAAGAGGGCCCCAAGACGGCCCAGGAGGCTCCCCAGACAACCCAAGTGTGCCCCAAGAACTCCCCAAGAGGGGGCCCAGAGGGGGACCACCAACCGATATTTCGAGGTCAGAGGCCCCCAGTAGGCCTCTGGAGGCCACCAAGAGGCTCCCACGAAGCCCCGTGAGTCGCCCAAGAGGCCCCCAGGAAGCCCCAAGAGACCCCCAAGGGGCTCCCAGGGAACGCCCAGGAGGCCCCGCCCCCAGAAATCACGTCCCCAGAAAGCCTTGAGGGGACATGGTTCATCATGGGCCCGAGAGTTCCCGGAGGCCCCCAAGGGGCCCGCAGGGAACGCCCAAGAGGCCCCTCAACACACCCCGACAAATCATGTCCCCAGCCTTTTGGGGACATGGTTTACCATGGGCCCGATAGTCTCCACAGGCTCCGAAGTACCATCACGCTACCGGAGAGCTGTCTGGGCAGGTGACTGGAAACATGACTGATCGCCTTCTCGCGGCACCCCGCAGATCGTTTCGCACAAAGTTGCCCCAAGTGCCCTCTTGAACCGACGACGACGACGACGACGACGGAGATGACGAAACGACGAAGACGAGGACGACGACGACGACGACGACGGCGTGCCCTAAGAGGCGACGACGACATTAGGACGACGACGACGGCACGCCTCAACAGGCTTCCCAAGACGCCTCCCAAACCCATGTTCCCAGAAGGCCTTCTGGGAACCCGATTCATCCGGCCTCCGCCCCCCTACGCAACCATCTTCCCCGAAAGGCTTCTGGAATACGGATTGACATGCGTGGACTGTGGTCCACTACTTCAGTGGAGCAGTGAACTCGTCAAGGCCTGAGGCCTGCTAGAACCATCGCGCGCGCGAAACGCGCGATGTTTCTAGTGTGTATATACATATATATATATAGTTGTATATGTATTTATTTATATATATATATATATATATAGATACATGCGTATATTTTGCACCACACAGCTTACACCACGTACAGTGTATCACATAGCCTTCACCACGTAAATCGCCTATTTTCGATTTGAGACACATAGCTTTCACCACATGAACTGCACCACGTAGATTGAACCACATAGATTGCACCACATAGTTTGCCGGGACACTGTTTGGGCTCCACGCTGGCTGCCATTATCTCATCGTCTACCGACATTGCCGAGCACACTGGTCGAAAAGGCTCCACGCGCCTGGCTTCTCAGGTGCCTCTCTCGGGGCCCTGTTGGGCCCCCTATGGCGGCCCATCCGAGGCACGGACGGCGTGGAGCAGCGACAAGCTTCGGCGGCATCCGATGCACGTGCAGACGCGGGGTCGACCGTGCGGGCGCTCGCGCGCGAGCAGTCCGCGCAGGGTCGCCCTTGCGTGGCACGTAAGACCCCGTGTACATCGTCGCTCAGATGCTGCAGATGTCTTGTTTTGGGTGTGCCTGACACATCCATCGAACCGCTCTGGCTCGTGACGATTTTGAGGGGGCACCCTGCACGGCGCTCTCGCACCCGTCGTCTCGTCCCAGTTTTACGATTCCTGGTGCACCGCCCGCTCTTCCTCCCCTTCCTCCCCCTCTCCCCCTCTTTCCCTCTCCTTGTCGTCGTCTCTGTGTTTCTCCCTCCCTCCTCCTTTGCTTCGGCGCCTCTCTTGCAGCGTGTACTCCCGGAGTGCGGCCGCGAAAGAGTCAGGCGGTGAATTGCCGGGAGTTGATGAAGTCTTTCGGCTGGGACACGGTGGATGCCTTCACGCAGCACGATGCCCAGGAGACAACAACGTTAAATGTCGGGCAGTGCTTCGAAGCTGCTTAGCTCACCACCCACCAAACCACCCCAACCCAACCCGAATGCCTTAATTTGCCCTCGATTTTCTGGGTGGGGCGTCGGGGAACATTGAAAAAACACATGTGCAACCCGTACCCCCCCAACCCGAAATTTGGGACTTCGGGTTAGGTTGGGGTGGTCTGGTAGGTAGCTAGTAGCAGACCGCCAGGGTGGGCGGTGGGACAGGGCCGTCCCGAGGGTGGGGAAGGGCCGTCCCAAGGGCAGAGATGCGAGGCTGCAGGGCCGTGGGGCGATGGCTTCGGCGGCGCATGTGAAGGAGGGGTGGCCCGTGAGGGCTACCGCTCGGGGGGGGATGGGGGAAGCTGGTGGGGAGCGGCGTTGCTTCCGTCGCCGCCGTCGCCGTCGCCGTGGCCGTCGCTGTCGCCGTCGTCGTCGTCGTCGTCGTCGCCGCTGCCGCCGCCGCCGCCGTTGTCATCGTCGTCGTCGTCGTCGACGTCGTCGTCGACGTCGTCGACAACATCGCCGTGGTCGCCATCGCCGTCATCGCCGCCGCTGCTGGCGTGACTCTTGCTGCCGTTGCCACAGGCGTCGCCGCCGTCGCTGTCGCACTCTTCGCCGTTGTCGCCGTCGCCACGGTGCTCGGGCTTTTCATTCAGCGACCTGAGGAGCATCAGCATAAGCTGCTCCGACCGAACATGCTCCTCCTGGGCGGGTCTGGAGCTGGCGTCGCCCGCCGGCTTGCCGTCGTGTCCCCGCTGGCCTCCCTGCGAGCTGCCTGCGGCGTGCCTCCCTTCGAGCGGCTGCCTACGAAACGCCTTTGCCAACCTGCCCGTGGCTGGCCATCTGCTGGTGTCTTGAGGAGATGCTGGGGGGCCGTCACGTAGAGATCAGGCAGGCCTGGGAGGAAGATGTAGATCGTTCCAGAGCGTTCCAGAACGCTATCAGGGCGTTCCGAAACGCTCTGGAACGGCCGCTGTGCCATATATACCGTTTCTAGGTCCGCTGGCTCTCAGGGTAAGAGGTTCCACATGCATCACATCTCGATGTTGTCTTCTTTCTGTCGTCGTGCAAGGGGGGTCGTCACGGAAGTGGGCGATTTGGGAGTGCCCGCCATGCCCGCAGGAGCTGAATCGAATCCTCTGCGACAGGTTGGAGGAACAGATGAAGGGCACGCCCATGGATGGCTCCATCAAGAGGCCGCCATCGAGCCTTCGTCAATGAATTAATGGTCCACTGTCTCGCACCTCCTCCGAGGCACAACCTCAATGCCGCTGACCATAAGGATGTTCATAAGCCAGGACTGTCAGCATTATTCATCGAGAATACCTGATAACACAATGAAGATATGGCCTCACTGCGGTCCCCGCCTTTGCATAAGAGACAATAAAGTTGTGTGGTTCGCTTTGATGTATCTGTTGAACAGACACCCTATGGCTATGCTTTGGGCCTCTTAACTCAGGGCCGCTCTCAAAGGATGAGGATTCCTTTGATACCTAATCGATTATGGCTTCTCCTCCCCGTCATCCTCCTCCTGCTCCCTGTCCCTCCCTCGTTCCCCCGTCCTGCTTCCTGCTCTCTGCTCCCTGCTCCCTGCTCCCTCCCTTCTCCTCCTCCTCCTCCTCCTCCTCCTCCTCCTCCTCCTCCTCCCTCCCTCCCTCCCTCCCTTCTCCGTGCACCTTTCACCATCCTCTCTCCTCCCTTCGCTCTCTTCCGCTGTGTGGGTCTCCATTTGACGGAGACCAAGCACAGGCTCTTCTCCTCACCTCGTGGGTCGCCGTGGAAGCACGCCCCCCCCTCCTCCGCGCGCCCCCCCCTCGACTGTGCGGTCTCCTCCCGACGCGCCCTCGCCCGTGCTCGCTCGGCCGCGCCCCCGTGCGCGGCCGTCCTCCCGGGAGGCCTGCCCTCGCCGCTGGCCACGGGGCGCTGGCCGTGTTGGCCGCGGCGGCAGCCGGCGGCGCCGTCGCGGCGGCGGTGGCCGGCTTTGGCGCGCGCGCGCGCGCGAGCAGCGGCAGCCTGCCGCACAGCGCGCGGGGCGTGCTGAGGTCCGGGCCGCAGCCGAGCGCCGGGTCGCAGCCCCGCGGCCGTTTCACGGCGGCCGAGGGGGGCCTTCCCCGCTCCGCCCTTGGCCGCGCGCGGAGGGCGGGGCCGGGTTCCTCCGCGCGCCTCGGCCGCGCGCGCCTCGGCCGCGCGCGCGCGCCTCGGCCGCGCGCGCGCGGAGGGGAGGCTTCTCAGAAGGCGGCTGGCTCTCAGAAGGTGCGGGCCGCAGCTGTAGGTGTAGGACCCGCGCCTGCTAAGAGGCGGCCTCCTTCCAAGAGGCCCTCCCCCTCGCCCTCCCCACTTTGTGCGCGCCGCCAGTCTCCGCGCGGAGCAGTGGCAACGGCTCTGGGCCTCCCCGCGGCTTTGGGCCATCGAGGATGGGCCGGAAGAAGGGGTGGAGCCGCCGAATGAGTTTTAAGTGGGGCATTCCCTCTGCAGGAGGAATCACTCAAGACTAGTTAAGAGTAGTCTGGTGGCGATGTTTCATGCTCTTTCGATTTTCTCCGCCGGTAGGAGGACATGCTCGACCTAGGACCAGACGAGTCCACCACCATCAGAGGCGGGCATCGGTTTGTCCAGCAACCTCATCCTTAGCGAAGGCTCAGACCCCGACCTGAAGGTGAATCCCAGGGCACCCTGGAGGCCAGCAGGGTGTTTCCTGGCACAGCTTCCCCCTGCAGGCCTGCCTGACCCGTGAGGCCCACGGCACGGCAGGCGACGAGCTGAACACGGAAGCCGGCACGCGGGTGACGGGCGACGCGCTGATATCGCCGACGGGCAGCGGGCCGCGGAGGGCGACACGCTGTGTCCGGAGAGCGGCCAGCAGGTCACGGACGGCGACGCGCCGAGCGCTGAAGGCAGTCAGCGGCCAGCGGCCAAAACAAAAAAGACAGCAACAAAAAGTTGAGGGCCCCACGCCGAACACGGAGAGCGACCAGCAGGTCAGGGAGGGCGACAGGCTGAAGGCGAAAATTGGGCGGCAGACTGTGGTGGGCGACGCGCTGAACGTGACGGACGGCCAGCAGTTCACGGAGGGCGACGCGTTGACCGAGGAGGGCGGCCAGCAGATCATGGAGGGCGACATGCTGCACACGCAAGACGGCCAGAAGGTCACGGACGGCGACAAGACGAACATGGAAACCGGCCAGGTGGTCACAGAGGAGGAAAGAGGAAGATAGAGAGGCGAATGGTGACATGGGCGACATCGCTGCTGCCTCAGGCTGGGACGGCCCCTCCCGCGAGTTACCGTGCCTCAGCGAGGAGTGCTTTCGCGTGCATGGAAAAGCAGAGCGCTGGTGCGACACGCAGACTCCGTTGGAGGAGATCCTCCTCCTCCTCCTCCTTCTCCTCCTTCTCCTCCACCTCCTCCTCAACCTTTTCCTCTTCCTCCACCTCCTCCTCCTCCTCCTCCGACTCCTCGTCCTCCTCTTCCTCCTCCTCCTCCTCGTCGTCCTCCTCCTCCTCCTCCTCTTCCTTCTTCTCCTCGTCTTGAGGCGTCTGGAGAGTCAGGCGGTCCGATTCCAACAGCGCGGTTTGGGGCTCCGCGGGAGCGGCTCCTCGTGCGGCCAGGCGCAGCGCACGCGGCGGCGAGGAAGCTGCGCGAGAGGCCGGGCATCCGGGCCTCAGGCAGTTCTTCATATTCAGAAGCGTGTGATTTTTTGATCGGCTACCGCGAAGTCGGGCGTGTCCCTCTGCAGGAGGAATGTTCAAAAAGAGTAAAAATAATCGTATGGGGACCATTGTTGGGAGAATTTTTTGAGCATGTTTTTTTTTTTTTTTTTGTTGTTGTGTTAATTGTTCGTTCAAAATCCCCCAGTAGGGGGACAGGCCCGACCTAACATTCGTACTGCCACCGCCACTTGCTGACGCCACTGCCAGACGACGGCGCCGCCCCTGGGGGCGCCGGCGCCGGGCAGCGGCGTTGGCCTCACACTCGGCGCCAAGGTGTCGAGATTGCATTCTCCTCCTCCTCCTTCCTCCTCCTCCCCCTCCCCCTCCTTCCTCCTCCCTCGTCCTCGGTGGGAAGTCTACTCCTTTACCCCTTGCGCCTCCTCCTCCTCCTCCTCCTCCTCCTCCTCCTCCTCCCCAGCGTTGCCCCGTGGCTGGCTGACTGACTGCTTCGACTGACTGCCTCATGCTTGGCGCCAAGATGGCGCCATACTTGACGTGTTCGGGCTTGGATGGTTCCCGAGGCCCGCGCTACGCGGCTCTACATTCGCAGTGGTGGATCTCACCGTTTGTTGCTCTTCCTTTTTGTGGCCACTCTCCGGAGTCGTGTCGTCTGGTCTGGATTTTCTCGCGGGCCGCTCCGTCTTTGTGTTGCTCGCCCCCATGCGATTGCTCTACAGAAACGTGTAATCATTTGTCTCCTGTCTTCTGCGATGCTTCTTCCTGCTATATGACTCCGATGGATGCCGTCGCTTAGTGTGGTGGCTTTTCTCGCAGGATTCCGCCGCCAGCCAGCCTTGTCGTCCTCGTCCACTTTTTCGTCTGCTTCGTCGAGATGCCTGTCGCCTCCTGCCCATTCTACCTGGCGTTGTCGTCTCTGGACTTATCTCATTTTTCCCTTTCGTCCGCCTTTCCCTCTTCCCTGTGTCTTTCTTCGTAAGCATGGCGCATCTGTGTCGCTTGATGCGCGCCGCCGCGGAGCGGGCGCGAACTTATTACGAAACCTCTTGTGTTCAGCGTGGGGAAACGTTCCTGTGAACAGTCGTGCCCGCGGCGTGAATATTCCACGTGCAGCTTGATACACACCGCGAGCGAGTACATACAGTACACGCTAACGTGTATGGCGATATGATTGTTGTGACATTGTGCCTGGGAACCCCGAGACATCAGCACATATTGCACGCACTGCCACGGGCACCACGTGGACGTGCACGAACGCCAGCATGCGCACGTATCCACGCGAAGACACATAGTCGCACATGTTTAATGTACAGTGCCGCTCCCCCTGGCCCTCTTCGCTTGCATGTCGCTTGTCTCCAGCTGACTTGTCTTCTCCTTGCACTTGAACTTTGCTGTCGCTGCGGAGTGCTATGCGTAGTACCAGTCGCTTCGGGGTGATGGTTTCGTCGTTTTTCATTCCCTCTTCTGCACCTCCCCAGTCGTGGTGGTCCCGTGTTGATGCGCGGCTGGCCTGATTTCGAGGCTATTCGAGGGCGAGATGGAGAATTACATCGAGTGCATAGACGTGGACTACAAGTCCAGACGGAACGAGACGTACGCCAGGGGAGGGACACAGGAGGAGGAGGAGGATGAGGAGTAGGAGTAGGAGGAGGAGGAGGAGGACGAGGAGGAGGAGGAGGAGACAAAAAAGAAGGGGGAGCACGAGGAAACGGACGAGGTGGAGGAGGGAGGGCGAGGATAAAGGCTTGAAACAGGAGGGGCCTGGAGGCAAGGAGCAGTCGCAATGTACGTAAACGCGCCGCCCTTTGAGGTGTAGTTCGTTTTCTGCCACGTGCGCTCCTCGTCTGCGTCAGCGAACCCTTCCGTGGTGTTTCAGGAGTTGCTGAGGAAGTTTCGGAAGCGCCACGCCGATGACCCGCGATAGCATCGCGGAAGATCTGCGGCCCGTGCGTCTTCGCGCCTCGCCATGCATGTGCCGAGGCATCGTCGTCATTGCCTTCGTTTCCGTCCTCATCGTCCCTCTTTGTCAGTCGGCTCATGGTGCTTCTGCCCATGGGAATGCGGCATCCAGACAGCGTGCAGCTGTGCAGGGCGGCGGCAAAGATCCGGGTGAGGCCGTGTCCTTCCCCTCCTACGCGTCTTTCTTCCTCCTCCTCCTCCTTCTCCTCCTCCTCCTTCTCCTCCTCCTCCTCCTCCTCCTCCTCCTCCTCCTCCTCCTCCTCCCCCTCTCGCGTCACTTCTGGTCGCATTGGATCTGTAATTTCTGGGCGCGCAAAGACATTCTGTTTGTGCATGGTGGCGCTCGTCGATGCGCAGTGATGTGCGCATGGCGTATATCACAAAACATGCGTTCGGCGTGCGTAGCTTTCTGGCACGCGCTTGATGGACCTTGCGCAGAAGCAGCGAGAGTCAAATTGACCACTTGTACCTATCAGTTGTACAGTCGTCCCTGTTCATTTGACACGGTTGCGGTACGGGACCGCGTCAACATGCCGTGACTTGTGGGTCAGTTTGCTTGGTGTCTGTGCAGCAGCCCTTAATCGAATAACATCTGCCCATGGCGGAAGACGGAACACTCACTGGCCGGCATACAGTACCGCAGAGTTCACAGACCGCCCCTTCCCAGTGCTCGCTAGAGCGCGTGCTCATGTGGGTGATGCTTGGTCTGGACTCGGCGCCGTGCGTTCGGCGTTCCCAGCGGCGGCGGCGGCGTGGCCGTTGGCGCGCGGACTTGAGCCAATACAGTACGGTGAGGACGAGGAGGAGATGGGCTCCTTCCCGCTGCAGTTGCTTGGGCGCTGGCTGGCGGCGGGTGATGGCCCGCTAGGCGGCGTGCTCGTCTGTATATGCATTCTTTTCTCACGCTGGTGATGGTGATGGTGACGACGATCCTGGTGATGGTGATGCTGATGGTGATGGTGACGGTGATGGTGACGGTGATGGTGATGGTGATGGTGATGACGACGATGATGATGATGATGGTGGTGGTGGTGGTGGTGAGGCGGTTGTCGATGATGACGATGATGGTGTGGTGGTGGTGGTGAGGCTGTTGATGTTGATGATGATGATTATGAGGATATGATGATGATGATGATGATGATGATGATGATGATGATGATGATGATGATGATGATGATGATGATGATGATGATGATGATGATGATGATGATGATGATGATGATGATGATGATGATGATGATGATGATGACTGTGATGGTGATGGTGATGCTGACGGTGATGTTGGTGATGATGGTGATGATGACGACGACGATGTTGATGACGATGATGATGACGATGATGATGCTGATGCCGATGCTGATGCTGATGCCTTGCTGCTGCTGATGAGGATGATGATAATGATGATGCTGATGATGCTGCTGATAATGAAATGATAATGATACTGATGATGATGATGATGATGATGATGATGTTGATGATGATGATGATGATGATGTTGATGTTGATGATGTTGTTGATGATGATGATGATGATGATGATGATGATGATGATGATGATGATGATGATGATGATGATGATGATGATGATGATGTGATGATGATGATGATGATGATGATGATGATGATGATGATGATGATGATGATGATGATGATGATGATGATCATGATTATGATGATCATGGTGAGTATGATGAGGATGAAGATGAGGCGGAGGGGGAGATGATGGGCAGGGCCATCGCCTGCCCGCGCGGGGACTGGCGGCGGCGCCTCTGACTTCTGGTGAGGTTCTACGATATCCAGCTAAACATTAAGTCCGAGCGGGGGATCGAGCTGCGCAGCATCGAGGAGATCTCCTCCCCTGCTTCCTCCTCCTCCTGGTCCCTCTCCCTCCTCCTTTCCCTTCCTCCCTCCTCCCCCTCCCTCCTCCCCCTCCCCCTCCCCCTCCTCCCCCTCCCCCTCCTTCCCCCTCTCCCTCCGCTCTTTTTCCCTCCTCCCCCGGACGCGCGGAGCGAGGGACCACTCCACGCGTTCACAATTGGCCCGAGGAGAAATTGACGACAACTATCTTCCTTCCTCCCTCTTTCCTCCCTCCACTTCCTTCCCCCTCCCATCTCCTCCCCCCTCCTCCTCCATTTTCCCTGTGCCCTCTTCAATGCTCCTCATTGTCCTTCTCGTCTCTCCCTTGCCCCTCATGTTCCTTTCCCCGCGTGCTCCTTGTCGTCGTTGTCGTTTTGGAGGTTGTCGTCGTCGTCATCCTCCTCCTCCTCCTTCTCCTCCTACCCCCCCCTCTATCCTCCCTCCTCGTCCCTCCTCCTCCCCGATCCCAGACATCGGGGCGTCGTGATCACAAATGATGATGGACCCTTCTCGCCCTTTTTCGGGCCCCTGGGCCCTCACGGGTCGGCCTCGCTCGCCAGATTCCGCAAATGGATGGTGTCGAACGGTGCGTTCGTGATTTGTCTTCGCTATGCCGTTTTTGTCCCTATTATGCGTCCCCCAGATGTCGGAGATGCGATCGGGAAGTGTTTTTGGGTCGCTCATCTTCTCTTCTCCTCCCTCTCCCTTCTCCCCCCTCCTTCTTCCCTCCGTTTCTCATGTTGCTGCTCCTCCCTCCTCCCTCCCGCCTCCTCTTTCTCCTCCTCCTCCTCCTCCTTCCCCTGCTTCTCCCTCCTCCTCCTCCTCCTTTCTGATGAATTCTTATCCTGCCTCCTCCTCCTTCCCCTGCTTCTCCCTCCTCCTTCTCGTCCTGCTCCTCCTCCTCCTCCTCCTCCGCATTTCTCTCCCTTCTCTTCTCTCCTTCTTCGCATTCTCCCCCTGCTGCGGCTCCTCCCCGTTGCCCTGCTCCACCCTCTGATTCCCTTGTTTCTCCTCCGCGGTTCTCCTCCCAATCCTCCTCTATTTTCTCTCCGCTCGGGTGGAATGTGGTGCCGATGAGTCCATCCGTGGGATGGTCTTTCGGCTGGGATGGGATTGGCGCAGTTTTCGGTTTGTGTTTGCCTTATGCCGGATCTGTCTTTGGCTTTTGTCGCCTCGTGTCTTTTGGGGGTGTCAAACGTTGTGCCGAAGTCTTGTCAAGCTATTCGACTGCGTATTTTCCGAGCCGTTGTACAAACTCTGATGGTAGCACTTGTGGGAGGATGGGGAATAGGAGGAGGAGGAGGAGGAAGAAAACAAATACTAATACCAACTATAACAATAAGAGGAATACTAATAAAGAGCATAAGACTATTACTAAGCAAGAATTCGCATCATCATAGTAATCATAATATTAAGAATACGACTCATAATACAACTGTTAATCATAGTATCAATAATAGCAATAATGAAGAGGGAAAACAAGTAATACGAATACGAATAATAATACCAATGATACTACTAAGACTACACAGATTAAGAAACTAGTAATCATACGAATCATACTAAGAGTGAGAAGAGAAAAAAGGAGGAGGAGGAGGAGGAGGAGGAGGAGGAGGAGGAGCAGGAGGAGGAGGAGGAGGAGGAGGAGGAGGAGGAGGAGGGTCGCCACCTGCGGGGACCGCCCCCCCGCGCTCGGTGGGGGGGCGCCGGCGACCAAGCTGGACTACGAGTACACCACGGGCGTTGTCAAGCCTAGGCCTCACTCGAGTGAGGCTCATCATTTGAAGTCCTACCAGAGGTTCGCCTACGTTGCGCGCCGTGGGCGCATCCTCGCTGACGACTTGTGAAGGATCACCATCAACAACGCTGCGAACACCGCCAACCTTGCCGAGACGCCCACGCCGATCCCATCAGCAACACACACGCTGACGCCAGGACCACCGCGGCCAACACTTACGCATTGGCCAGTACTATCACCGACTTCATGATGAACCCGAACGCCGCCGTCTTCATGCCCGCAGACACCGTCCCCAGCACCATGAGCAGCGCCCAGGACGATTGGGACCAGCAGCAGTACCACCACCACCACAACTGCGACCAGCCCCATTACGCCCACGACTGCGACCCAAGCAAAGAGCTGCGAAATAGGCAGCAGGGCTCCGCCGACACCAATGCCGACGCCTACGCGGACACCACCGCCGACGCCTACGTCGGCACCCAGAGCACCTACGACCAGGCCAAGGATGGGGAGAAGAGAGAGGAACTGCAGGAGGCCGGCGTCGAGGAGGCGTCGGAGGACCCCCAGGACTACCAGCGGTTGGTGGGGGACCCAGAGGAGGACTGGGGGGACCTGGACCTGGCTGAGGCGGTAGAGGCCCAGGAAACGTCCCAGGAGGAGGCCAATAACCCACCCATGACGAGGCCCAGGCAGTGGGTCGCCTTCCCGACAGACCACGATTTCAGGGAGGCAGCTGCTCAGGCCGTGCGAGCCGCCACAGCACGCAGCCACCAGCGCCACCGAGATCACGACGACGACACAGAGTACGAGGGCGAGGGCCTGGATGTGACGACGGCGGAAGAGGGTAGGATGGCGGCGGCGGCGGATGGGCAGGCGGCGTCGGCGGCAGCTCGGGCGGCGACTGGGGTGGCGGCTGGGGTAGACTCGGCAATGTTCGCCTCAGCATCCACGTCAACACCGACATCAGCACGGACTCCAGCACCAACGTCAGCATCGACACCAGCACCGCCACCACTGTCGACGCCAGCGCCGACGCCAGCATCAATCCCAGCATCATCGCCAGCTTCGAGAACGGTATCGGTTCCAGCACTGGAGCCAGCACCATGTCATCACCAACGCCAGCAGTGACTCCAGCACCGACGCCAGCATCCACGCCCGCATCGATCCCCGCATCGTAAACAGCACTTACGACAGCATCGACGTCAGCATGAACACCATCATTAACGCCAATCTCGAAACCCACACCGACGCCGGCATCAACTACAGCGTTTGGCTCAGCATCGGCGCCAGCATCTGCACCGGCATCGAGGACAGCGTGGACATCCAGCATCAGCACCAGCATCGACGCCAGTTCTGATACGAGCACTACCCTCAGCGTCAACGTCAGCACCGACGCTGGGAGCGACGCCAGCACCGGTGACCGCATCGACTACATAATCAAAGATAAATCACATCGACTCCAGCACCAGAGCTAAGACTGGCACGTTAGCGACGCGAGCAGTGACCCCCGCATCGAAGCCAGCAGCAATGCCTGCATCGACACCACCACCGATCCCAGCACGGCAGCCATCGTCGACGCCAGCGCAGCCTGCATCGACGCAAGCAACGAATCCAGCATCGACGCCAGCACCGACGCCGTCACCGACCTCAAACATCGACGCGGGTATCGACCTCTAGCACCGGAACCCGCGCCCACGCCGCCAGCATCAACAATCTCAGCATCCACCATCGACGTGCAGAGCTTGGATACCACGGCGGCGGAGGAGGATTGGGTGGCGGCGGCGCGGGGGCAGGCGGCGTCAGCAGCTACTCGGACGGCGGTGGGGGGGGGGGGCGGCTGGGGCGGGCTCGGCGCTGTCGACGGCGGAAACGGCGGCTGGGGCTGGGGCTGGGGCTGGGGCGGCGGCGAGGGCCTCAGCACCGGTGCCAGACTCGACGCCAACGCCGACGCCCGCGCCGAGCTCAGCGCCGCCCAAGTCAGCAGCAACAGGGACTCCAGCGCCCACGTCGGCATCGGCACCAGCGCCGCCCTCGCCATCGACGCCAGCGCCCGCGCTCGCATCGACCCCCTCATCGAACCTGGCCCTCGCGAGAAAGCATCGGCGTCCACGCCGGCGCTGGCACCTCCCCCGAGGGCGGAAGGGCCGCGGCGCGACACGTGGCCAATGCTCGCGCCACCATCGACGCCAACGTCGCAGGCTATCCTCACCCAATCATGGCAGACAGCACGGGCGTCGGTATCGACTGCGACGCTCGAGCGCCAACCCCAGTATTGCATCCAGCCCCGATTCCGCCACGGCCTGCGTCGACATCAGCATCGACGCCCGCGGTGAATCCAGCGTCGACGCCAGCGCCGACGCCAACATCGGCCCCGGCATCGACGCGCGCGTCGAGGACAGTGCTGACTCGAGCACTGGAGCCCGCATCGACGCCAGCATCAACACGCACAGTGTCCACCATCGACGGGCAGGGCCTGGATGCGACGGCGTCGGAGGAGGACTGTGCGGCCGTGGCAGAAATGCAGGCGGCGTCGGCAGCGACTTGGGCGACGGTTGGGGGGGCGGCTGGGCTGGGCTCGGCGTCGTCGACGGCGGAGTTGTCTGCGGGGGCTGGGGCTGGGGAGGCGGCGGCGGCGATGGCCCCGGCGCCAGTGCTGGACTCGACGCCAGCGCCGACGCCCGCGCCAGGGTCAGCGCTGCCCCCGCCAGCAACGACGCCCGCGCGGATTCCAGCGCCCTCGTCAGCATCAACGCCAACGCCGCCCCCGCCATCAACACCAGCGCCGACGCAAGCATCGATCCCAGCATGAGCTCCAACACTGAAGACGGCATCGACTCCATCACCTGAGCCAGCTCTTACGTCGCCACCAACGCCAGCATCGACTCCCGCGCTGACGCCGGCGCCCGCGCACGCAACGACCCCCGCGCCGGAACGAGCCCTCGCGATAGCATCGACGTCAGCACCGATGACAGCATTAACGCCAACGCCGAAACCCATGCCGACGCCAGATTCAATTACAGCGCGTGCATCAGCATCGGCGCAAGCATCCGCGCCAGCGTCGAGGACAGCATCGACCCCAGCATCCGTTCCAGCATCGACGCTAGCACCGACGCGAGCACTGCCCCCATCATCAACGCCCGCGTCGACGCCAGGATCGACGACAGCATAAACGTCCGCATCGACGCAATCACTAATCACCCAATCACCAGGGGAAGTACCCACCCCATCCGCGAAGCTGGCACCGACGTCAGCACTGGCTCCAGGACCCACCCAGCATCGACATCTACACGAACGTCAACATCGACCCCAGCATCGACTCCAGCACCGAAGACAACGTCGACTTCAGCACAGGAGCAGACATCGACGTCCGAACCGACGCCGGAAGCGACCCCAGCAGCGAAACTTGCCCTCGCGACAGCATCGACGCCAGCATTGACGCCAGCTGCACCTTCAGCATCGACACCCACGCCAGCATCGACGTTAGCATCCAAGTCAGAACCAAGTCCAGATATGGAGCCGTCAGAGAACAGCATCGACGCCAGGATTCATTGCAGCATTCCAGACATCAATCACTTCAGAGGCGGAAGGGGGGGCACGAGGTGTCCCCTCTCCCCTGCGGACGGATGGACCGCAGTGCATAGCGTGGCCATTGCTCGCGCCATCAGCGCGGACCCAAGAATCTATGTCAGGATCGACGCCAGCACGGACTCCAGCACCTACGTCAGCGTCGACACAATCACCGCCCCTACCATCGACGCCAGCATCGGCGCCAGCATCAGCCCCAGCATCAGCGCCAGCATCGAAGATGGCATCGGCTCCAGCACCAGAGCCAGCACCCACGCCACCGCCAACGCCAGCATCGGCTCCATCATCGACGCCGCCATCCTCGCCCGCATCGGCCGCCCCGTCGGCGCCAGCCCTCGGGGCAGCGTCGACGTCGACGCCGACGCCAGCGACGCCAGCATCGTCGCCAGCACCGGCCCCAGAAGAGCAGCCAACAGCGACTCCAGCGCGGCCCGCTTGGACGTCCGCACCGGAGCCAGCAGCGAATCCAGCACTGACGTCCGCAACGACGCCGGCACCGTTGGCGGCAGTGCTGGCGCTTGCAGCCATCAGCACCGGCGCCAACATCGACGCCTGCAGCGGTGCCAGCGCCGACGCCTGCATCGTCCTCACCACCGATGCCAGCGCGCACCGCGGCATCGACGCCAACGCTGACGCCCGGGAGGAGAAGGAGGAGGAGGAGAAAAGGATGGAGGAGGAGGAGGATGAGGAGGAGGAGGAGGAAGAGGGAAGGGGCGGTAATCGAAATTTCAGGAAGGTTCAATCTGGATTCAAGCCTTTGTTGGGCGAGCGTCAAGGTATTCACCCTGAGAGGGGGTCAGCTCCAGATGAAACCTTTCCCGTGGACGCCGAGCGTCGAAGGGACTCACCCCGAGGATGGCTCCGGAACGGCCTCTTAGCCTCTCAAGGCCTCTTGGCGGCCTCTTAGCGGCCTCTCAGCGGCCTCTTAGCGGCCTCTTAGCGGCCTCTCTCCGACCGGCTCAGAAGGCGTCGGGACCGACCCTGCGAAGGCACACCGATCAAGCTCATAATCGTTGGGACCCGTGTAGACCTCGCGGTGGCCATTGCGTGAGAGTGTTCACTCCTGGGTGACCCCTCCGACCGGAGCTCCCGTGAAAGTGTTAAGTCTGGATCGAACTCCTCTTGGAGGGGAGCGCAAACCGCATGTGTGTTGTTGTTGTTGTTGTTGTTGTTGTTGTTGTTGTTGTTGTTGTTGTTGTTGTTGTTGTTGTTGTTGTTGTTGTTGTTGAACATTATTAATTCTAAAGAATAATTATTGTTGGGACCCCTGGTGCACGGCCCCCCTGCGCCGCCTAGGCCGCAGCTACATTTTCATCATTTTCGTGAGGAAGCCTCAGGTAATACGATGTGATCAAGATCCGGTTGTTTTGTTCCCCCCCGCTGTCCCTTGCAAAAAACACTATAAAATGAAATTTCTTGTTCTAAAATAACCAAACTTCAAGAATCCCTTGCAAAAAATAAGGTAAAGTGGACATTCGCGCGCGCAAGACGAAATCCTTCCAAAACCTTAGTGTTCGTAAGCGATTTCAACATAAAAACATCAAAAAACCAATGGTTTAAAAAAAAAAAGTGTCACAATTTCATCCCGCGCGCTCTTGCGGATTTGCAGGAAACCCAACTTTTTTAAACATTTCTGTCAAACGGGCTTTTGCGATCAACTTCTTCACGTGCTTCGAACTTCTCCAACAACGGTTGCGCACCTGCCAGGGCCATCATCCCTGTCAAATAATACCATGCGGGACACATTCGTTTTTTCTTTCCGTGCGCACGCCGAAATCTTCAAAAACCATTGGGTTTCGTAGGAATTTTAGCACCGCGCAACATAAAATCATTTTTCGCACCGTAGGCCCTTCAAATCGTCGTCGTCGTATACTAAGCTAGTTTCCACAAGATGTTACCACAAGAAGTCATTGAAACCATGCGCCAGTGTAGTAGCCACGGTCGTCCGCATGCCACGAAGTGAAGTGTCCGAACGTCATAGGGCGGGAAGCTGGGTGTGGGTGGTGGCGAAGAGTCGTTTGGAAATGTGGTAGAGCTTGAACCGGCCCCCCCACAAAGTGGGGGTATTGGCGGGCGTCGTATGAAAACCCTGGCACTGGTGAGAACACTGAGCGTTCGGGTAAAATGATTGTTGTTGTTGTTGTTGAAGACAACGACTGCAGACCCTGGAGAAGGAACCGAGGAAACAAGAAAGCCTGCAGCGGGTGAGAAGCAATACCTCTGGATCAGAGCTAGAGAGACACGTGAACTGAGCCAGAAAGCCTGCAGGGCAAGAGATGCACGCACCCTGAACCAGCAAGCCTGCAGAAGTAGAAACAAAACATACCCTAAACCAGACAGGTCAGCAGAGCTGGAAAAATAAGCATCTGGAGCCAGAAACACTGCAGAGCTAGGACAGAAGGGGCTCATAGCCAGAAAGCGGGCGTATCCAACAAAAAGAAGCCTGCATAACCTGAGAGGCAGCAGCCCCAAACAAAGCAACCTTCGGAGCAAGAAAGCCTGAAGAGCGAGTTAAAGGTAGCTCAAGAACCCAGGGTGGCTCAATCATCAGAAAGCAGGGCTAGATAAGGGTGGCATAACTAAAACTGCAATGCCCAAACATCACACCCTTGAGCAGCGTGACAAAAGGTCGTCCATTACTTGAAAGGCTGTGGAACTGGATCGGAAAAGGAGTCCATGGCAGAGATGCCGGCGCAACTTGAGAAAGTTCCCTCAAGTGAAAAGAGCATGCGCCGCGGAATACGAGACGAGGCGTCATGGTCGCCAGAGGAGCGCTTCAGATGTAGAGATATTTAATCTGGATTGAAAGCCCTGTCCAACGGGAAAGTGCTGCCGATACAATGTCAAAGGTTGTATCCAGATGTGACCTTTTTGAAATCGTGATTACACAATCTTCCGAAGGAGGAGGAGGAGAAGGAGGAGGAAGAAAAAGAAGAAGAAGAAGAGGATGAGGATGAGGAGGGAAGGATGACAGGGATGCCTCTGGGTGCCTCTTGGGGGCCTCTGTGGGCCTCTTTGGGGACTCTCGGGGGCCTCTTGGAGGCCTTTTTGGGGCTCCTTGGTCTTCGGATGCCATCTTGGGGCCCTCTCAAGACGCTTTCGGGCCGTCGTGGGTGTGTGTGGGGCCGCCGTCTTGGGGCTCTTTTGGTCGCCCTGGCGCCGTCTTGGCGCGGTCTTCTTGGCGGCTTCGGCCGTCTTGGAGGTCTCTTGGACGCCGTCCTGGGCCGTCGGAGGCCCGAGCGTGCGAGCCCTCGAACATCGGCGACAAACCTTGGGGCACTCGCTGTTTTTGACCTCCTGGAGGTGGCCACTGGGGGTCTTGGGGCATCTGGGCCGTCTGGAGTCTTGGAATCATATTTGGCCATCTCGGCGGCATCTTGGGCCCTTTTGGGCCCATCCTGCCCGTCTTGGAGGCGTCAGAGGACCGTCTTGGAGGCCATCTTAGGCCAACGTGGCCGTCCTGAAGGCCCTCTTGGATCTGTCCTGGACGGGAAAGGCGACGGGAAACACTTCTACTGCTGTTGGGCCGCCTGCCAGAGCTTCGCGCCCAGGGATGTCCCCATGGCGGCCTCGCGCGCGCGAGCCAAACGAGCAGAGTGTCAACCACACCGCCCGGCTGAACTGCCAGAGGGATTTAGTGTTTCCCTGGCCCGTTGGGTCGGCGAGTTTTCATCACTTCCCAGTGAGTCTTGCCTGGCGGCTTATTGTTTGATGCCCTGCTGTGAACAGAAGGTGCTCTCCGTCGGCTGTGGTCACAGGCCAGTTCCCCGCGATTCATGCGCCAGTTTATCGCGTCGCGAAATTATACGCCATGCCATGCTATGCCACAGGAAGGGTGTGGTGTGTCAATGCCGTGGCAGTGCTGTCTGCTCTTGTGACGAGTCCAGGCTGCGCTCCGCTGTGCTGTGAGACTGCCATGCCATGCTGATGCGATGCCGTGCCATCTGGAGGCTATGCTAGTGTTGTCATGGCGCCAACATCGCAGAGCGGATTTTTTTCGGAAAACGATGGGATGGGCCCAGAATTTTCTGAAGAATGTCGTTCCGGATTTCGAAGTGACTTTCGTGCGTTTTTCGGCCAGGAAGGAAGTCTACAAACATCCACGTGAAGTCCACTTTGGTTTTCGCTTGTCGTTTCGGGCTTTCGCATTGACTGAGCTCCACGCAAAAATCCGCTGCAGCACGTCTGCAAGGTCGGTGCAATGAAGGTTGTGCTGTGGTGTGATGTGGGAGTGTTCATCCAAATGCTGCCAAAGCGAGTCGACCGCAGGAGTCCCTCCGCGAGTTCACCGCCGAGGAGATCCTCGAGGGCGACAACGCCTACGAGGCGGAGGGGCACGGCAAGCAGCGCGCAAAGAAGGCCCCCCCGCTGCTCGCGCCTCCCAGCGTCCCTCCCTCCTCCTCCCTTCCCCCACCTCCCTCCGCCTCCCTCCTCCCTCCACCTCCCTCCACCTCCCTCCCTCCCTCCCTCCCTTCCTCCCTCCACCTCCCTCCTCGCTCATCCTCCCTCCCTCCACCTTCCCCCTCCTGACGCTGCGGGCCCCGCGCGGTCTGTCCGCGCAGCCCCGCGGCGCCCGCGCGCGCCGCCCCTCGCCGCGCGCTGGCACCGCGCAAGCGTGCTTCTGCTCCTCCTCCTCCTCCTCCTCCTCCTCCTCCTCCTCCTTCTCCTCCTCCTCCTCCTCCTCCTCCTCCTCCTCCTCCTCTCCTGCCTTCCCGAGGTCCTCGAGGTTGGTTGAGGTGGAGGCGAACTCGTGGACGTCGCACGGAGGCCTGCCCCCTCGCCTCGCAGGGGGCCCCGCAGGGCTGGGGCCTACCCCCCCTCGCCTCGCCGGGGCTGCGCGTGGCCTGCCCCCTCGCCACGCAGGGGTGCGACAAGTAGGGGCCTCCGCCCCTCCTGTGTCCGCGCTGCTCTTCGACCCGCTGCGCTTCCACATCTGAGTCGCACATCTGTGTGCGCATGTCGGCTAACTGTCGCCGCCCTCGGTCCTGCCCACTGGCTCGCAGAGGAAAAATCGTCGTCTGAGTCCGTGGTCGCGCCAGCGTGCGCCGACCACTCGGCGGCCTCTGTGCGGACGCACTCTACGAGGTCCTCGCACATGAAGATGGCCCTGTCGAAGTCGTCGCCGTGGGTTTCGCTCGAGGCTGCGAGGAACAATTCGAGGCCGTCCTTCCCTTGCACTGCCGTGAGTAGCACGTGCACGCCAGTCTCCGCCTGGAGGCAGCGGGTGTTCCTGCTTTCCTCGCCGAGGATGCGGGACTGCCATGGGAAGTGCTCGTCGAAGTTCTCGGTGCCGATGGGGATGCTGTGTGTCATGGTGACCTGCTTGCTGATGTGGCCTAACCCCTCGCCGCACAGGGGTTCGCGGTGGCCTACCCCCTCGCCGCGCAGGGGCCCGAAGGAGTCGTCGTAGTCGATGCTGTTGCCGTTCTCCGCCTCGGAGCCCTTCGTCTCGTGGAGCTCGTGGCCTACCCCCTCGCCACGCAGGGGGCCGGAAGAAACGAAGACGCCCTCGAAAGCAGTGCCCGTGGCAGCTGAGCCGCTCGGAGCACCATGAAGAAGAGGGTGTGCGGCCGATCGTGCTCTCCGCATTTGGTCCTCCACCTCCTCCTTGCTGGGCGGGGGGCGGAGGCTCGGCCGCCAGCTGGCGTAGGAGCGAAGGGCGCTATTGCCGACGTAGCCGTGCTCGTCGGTATTATCTGGATTCAGGGACTCCTTCTTGTTGGCGGAAGTGACGGATACGCCGATGCTGTCGGGGGATGCCGCTCCCGTGGGGTGCGTGCGGCTGCTCCTCTGGGTTTCTGGTGTCATGCGGCCACCACGCTTCTTGCCGTTCCCGCGGCGCTGGTTTTCCTGCGGCCTCGGAGGGAGGGCCTCGCGTTCAAGACGTGGATGGTCTGGTCGAAGCTGTGTTCGGCATTGTTTCTGGATGCCCGTCCAGTTCCGCAGATGTTCGGTTTCGACCCGAACGCTGCGGCCTCGACCTTCTGCTTGATGACGGGCTCGATGTAGTGCATCCTCGCGTTGACCTCGCCTTGCAGAGGGTCGGCCGCACCGACGAGGCTCGGCAGCAAGTCGTCCGTGCTTTGCCAGTTGTCCAGCTGTAAGTTGTGCCACTTTTCTTCCCACCATGATAAGCGACGCTGAAGAGAGCCTGTTTGCCCTTTCGTGCCGCTCGGACTGCTCTTGACCATGAGATGCTGGTTTTTCCTCGACAGGCTTCGCAAACCATTGCGTAGGCGCGCCTTGCCCGAACCTCGCCATTCCTGCCACGTGCCATGCCATGCCTGGTTGAGCCAAGATGGTCGGGGCGCGCGACGCGGCTTGAGCCAAGATGGCTACGGATCTTCCCCCTCCTCCTCCTCCTCCTCCTCCTCCTTCTGCTCCTCCTCCTCCTCCCCTCCTCCTCCTCCTCCTCCTCCTCCTCCTCCTCCTCCTCCTCCTCCTCCCCTCCTCCCCCTCCTCCTCCCCCTCCTCCCCCCCTCCCCCTCCTCCTCCTCCTCCTCCTCCTCCTCCTCCTCCTCCTTCTCCTCTCCTCCTCCTCCTCCTCCGCGCAAGGGCCCGCGCCGCCCCCCCCCCCCCCCGAGCCGGGAGCGGGGGCGGCGGGCAGCGCCGTGGCCATCCCGCTGCCGCGAAGAAGGAACAAAACCACGACGGGCGCGCTCCTCCTCGGCCTCGGCCTCCAGGGGCTGCTCTCGGGCCTCGGGTCCAAACAGAGACCATGGCTCATTTCGACCCCTCCGATTCGGCTCGATTTCGAGGGGTTCCGACTCCGATTCGATTCGGCTCCGGATTCCGATGTGGATTCCGGCGTCTCCATGGAGGCCTTACGTTAGCCGGTCGATGTCTGCCGATTTGATTTCTCCCGACTTGGCTGCTGATTTGCGCTGATCCGATTCATGTCGATCGCCGATCCGACTTATCGACTCGATTCTGGGCTCTCCTGGAAACGGTTACGGCGAAGAACTGGTACTGGGGATGGAGTCTGGGGCTCTGGTGCAGGCGCTGTGAAACGATCAGGTCGGAAATTTGGGGTCGATGGTTTGAGGGGTCTCGGGAGGAGGGGGAATGGAGGAGGAGGAGGAGGAGGAGGAGGAGGACCAGATCGGATCGGAAGTCTGCGAAAGGTTCACCGTGTGGAGACTGCAGTTGAAGTCTGTAGTTAACTTATGGGATGATGCTGATGATGACGATGATGATGATGATGATGATGATGATGATGATGATGATGATGATGATGATGATGATGATGATGATGGTGATGATGATGATGCTGATGATGCTGATGCTGCTGCTGCTGCTGCTGCTGCTGCTGCTGATGATGATGATGATGATGATGATGATACTGATGATGATGGTGGTGGTGATGATGATGCTGCTGCTGCTGATGATGATGATGATGATGAGGAGGATGAGGATGAGGATGACGATGATGCTGCTGATGATGATGATGATGAGGAGGAGGAGGAGGCGGAGGAGGAGGAGGAGGAGGAGGAGGACGAGCGGGGAGTGCACGGCAGCAGCAGCGGGGAGGCATGGAAGAGAAGATTGGCTGCTGACCCGCCGCGCCTCCCAGGCGGAGTGGTGTGGAGAGGGGGAAGGGCGTCTTTCTGTTGGATATTCATGAACTATGAACTTTAAGTCGGGCCTGTACCTTTACAGGAGGAACATTCAAAAATTGTTTCAAAAATAGTACGGGGACGATTTTTGAGCATTTTTGGGCATGTTTGGAATATTTTTGACTATTTTTCATTTCCCATTTTAAATCCGCCTGTAGGAGGACACGCCCGATTTAATATTAATCGGGGGTGGATAGAAGCCCTACCCTGACACGTCGGTTAATGAATTGCCCGTTTTCGGTTCTCGAGAGGGCGCCGCGGCCGTCATTTTCCAGGCTTGCGCCCGCCAGGTTTGGGCCCGAGGTCGTTTTCACGAATCCTCGTTTTGCTCAGGGGTTTCTGTCCATCCCCGAGTTAGCTTCAGAAGAGCTGACCCTTCAAAAGTCAGTCTTAGCTTCAAGGTATTGCTCCAGAGGAGCCAGGGAATGGCTGGCGGGGAATAAGAAGGGCAGCTCGGAAGGACGAGTGAACTGCGCGGGAGGCGACAGGAGACGCGAAAGTTCCGCGAGCAGTTCTCATTACATTGCGCTATTCCCTCTCTCTTTCTTCATGCTGCTGCCGGTATTCGTCGTTGCTCACGTCCTGGGCCTCGTCCTCAAGGACGGGGTGGGTGAGGTAGGCAGGTGCTAGAGGAACCGCAATTTTTCTTAGACCATCTCCCGAACAGGGCATCCGCTTTCTGACCTTCCCGCCCGTGCTGAACTTGCAGCTCAAGCGCTTTCACTTTGACCTCGAGAAGATGGACATGGCGCGAGCTCCCCCAGAGTGGAGTTGAGTGAGGGCGATAAGGAGAGGGGGAATGTAGTAGCGGAAGTTACGGTCATAGCAGTATTAAGGGTAACAGATATCATTGGTATGGTCGTCAAACTAGGTACTACTTTTGGGCGCTCCGTTCGGAACCCCGTGAGTGTCTGAAGGTCGTCTTTATCTTACCACGTGCATTGCTTTTCTTGTTCATCATCTTCTCACTCGTCCTGCTCCTACATTTTCCTCTCTTTCTCGTCTGCCTGCCTGCTCTCCTCGTCGTCTTCCTGCCTACGGCATTCCTTCTCTGAGGAGAGAAGGGGAGGTACAAGTGTGCACGGCGTACGCGTATATCCCCCAAGCAGTGCTTACTTTTCGGGATTTTTGCTTGTCTTACCTGTCTTCTGAGGGACCGGGCTGGTTTGTCGGGCTGGCGGCTATGTACTCTCCATCGCCGCCCTGTCGCCGCCTCGTCGCCGCCCGTCGTCTGGGCTGGTTTGTCGGTCTGGCGGCTACGTACTAGCCGTCGCTGCCCCGTCGCCGCCTCGTCGCCGCCCGTCGTCTGGGCGGTTTGTCGGTCTGGCGGCTATGTACTAGCCGTCGCTGCCCTGTCGCCGCCTCGTCGCCGCCCGTCGTCTGGGCTGGTTTGTCGGTCTGGCGGCTACGTGCTCGCCGTCGCCGCCCCGTCGTCGCCTCGTCGCCGCCCGTCGCCGCCGTTGGATTCTCCTTTCTAGAAAGAGAATAGACTCTACACCTTAGGCGATGCTTAAGAAAACTTGAGTTTTCGGCCAGAGTCTCGATTATTCTTAACGTTTCAATGTAAATCCGAAGTTTTTTATAGAAATGTTGGGCTTTTATTCCAGATCTGAGACTATGAATTTCTTAACCCATGATTTCTTAAGCATTTCGCTGGGTGTACCCCCCCCCCCCCCGCGTTATCGCCCCCCCCCTGTTGGTATGTAAATCACGTATGATTCTGACCACGTGTCCATCCTGAATATGAAATCACAATGTCCCAGGCCAACCGGGTTCCCCCCCCCCTGAGGTTCCCTTGTGAAAACACACTATGCGGTGACATTTTTTGTTCTAACATGGCACTTTTTCGCGAATCCCTTGCAACAAATGGGACGACGTGCACACGCGCGCGTCGTCGAGCGCGCATGCCGAAATCCTTCAAAAACCTTCGGTGCCGGAAGGATTTCGCAATCGAGTTTCCAAAAAACATTAAAAACACAGGGTTTCGTATTACAGATTTGCTAAAATAGCTTACGCGCGAGCTCTTGCGAAATCTTAAGAAAACCATTGGTTTTCAAGATTTTCACAACATGCTACCAAACGGGCGTCGCGCGCGCATGTCGAAATCTGTCGAACGCCCTTGCGCGTGTGCCGTCGCGAGAATCCTCTGCAAAAAATTGGACGAAGTGCAGACGCGCGCGTCGTCGCGCGCGTGTACGCCGAAATCCTTCAAAACCCATCGGTTTCGGAAGGATTTCAAAATCGCGCGTCCAAAAAATCTACAAAAACACAAGGTTTCGCAACACGGATTTTCAACAAAGGCGTGCGCGCGCGCTCTTGCGGCGTCGTCGTCGTCGTCGTCGTCGTCGTCGTCGCCGTCCTCCCTCCGTCGTCGTCGTCGTCGTCGTCGTCGTCGCCTACGTCGTCCTGTGTCTTTCCTCGTGTTCGTCGTCGTCGTCCTCTTTGGCGTCGTGGTCGTTTCCGTCGTCGTTGTCGCCGTGGTCGTCCTTCCTCCTCCCCCGTCGTCGTCGTCGTCGTCGTCGTCGTTGTCGTCGTCGTCGTCGGCGTCTCGTCGTCGTCCCTGCTATTTCGTGGCCGTCGTCGTCGTCGTTGTCGTCGTCGTCTTCCCTCCTCCCTCGTCGTTGTCGTCGTCGGCGTCGCCGTCCTTCCTCCTTCTTCGTCGTTCGCGTCGTCGCCGTTCTCCCTCCTCCCGCGTTGTCGTCGTTGTCGTCGTTGTCGTCGTCGTCCTCCCTCCTCCCTCGTCGTCGTCTTCGTTGGCGACGTCGTCGTCGTCTTCGTCGTCGTCGTCGGCGTCGGCGTCGTCGTCTTCGTCGTCGTCGACGTCGGCGTCGTCGTCGTCGCCGCCGTCGTCGTCGTCGTCGTCGTCGTCTTCGTCGTCGTCGTCGTCGGCCGTCTTGCTTCTCCGGCCTTCTTGGGGCGCTCTTGAGACGCCCCAGAGGGCTCCATAACGACCCCGGAGCGATATCTGTGCTCGGTCCCGCATGGGTTTTGCAAACCAAGTTGCGGGTGGGTGGGTGGGATGATTGTGCGAGCAGTGGAGTTGACAACTTCAAGTTCGGCAAGTGAATTTCACCTCATAGACTGCACGAAAATTTACTCGACGCGGATCTCCCCATATGTGCATCTCATACTCCTGCCACGTCTCGCTAAGAAACTCTGTCTGTGAGCGAGTCAGCTTGGACGACGGGCGCGACAACGACGACCGCGACAGCGACGACTTCAGTGACGTCCTCCTCATTTGGGAATCTTTCAGGAGAGATGAGGGAAGCACAAGTGGAAGAGCGAGGGAGCATTGGACCACCAAAAGATAGAAGACTGACTGAATCTTAGCGTGAGTGATCTGAGAGTGAGTGTGAGCCTGAGTGTGAGTGAAACCGGGTATGGTAAATCAGTGATTTTGGCCTCTTAGGGCCCTTTTGGGAGGCCTCTTGGAGGCCACTTCGGGCGTCTTGGAGGCCTCTGGGGCCGTCTGGGGGCCATGTTGGGCGTCTTGGAGCGATCGTTCGGCGACTTGGGGCCCTCTTGGATCGTCCTGGGGGCTTCTTGGGACCCGCTGCTCCTCAGAACTGATGACTGGGGCTCAGGGGATCAAGCACAGGACCTGAGGACGCTCACTCCGTGCCCAGCGGCACGGTGACCTATCTGACATCCTTCTTTCTCCTCCTCGACCTCCTTTTTCTCCTGCTCATCCTGCTCATGCCACCTCCTCCTCCAATGTACGCAGCTCCATTTCTCCGAATGCGCCTAACCCGATGGAGTCCTTTTTGGAATTTCAGCTCCGCTACGACACGCGTCGGCGGACAGAGAAAAACCAGCGCAATGGGAAGGGATCGGTGGGAGGGTAGGATGTCAGAGGTTGTGCGAGCTCCCTCTATACTCTTCCCCTCCACCCCCTTCCTCTTTCTTTTACCTCTAGGTGAAGCTCAACACGAAGTTCGAGTTCCACAAGAGGCTCGACCTGTCATCCTTCGCGCCCGGGGCCGGGACACCAGCGCGCCGCGCCCCGCCCCAGCCCGTGTCCAGACGCTTGTCTTGGGGCCGACAGGGGGAGGAGGAGGATCAGGATGGGACAAAAACACACAGACACAATTAATCGTCGATCCCCAGGAAAATATGGGAAAACATGGGAAGTGGGGGGGAAGACAGAAACCCAGAAATTATCCCAGTGCGACCCTACCTCTAGCAGCAGCAATAGTGGATGCTGTGCTGCGCTATGCTATGCTATGCTATGCTCTGCTCTGCTCTGCTATGCTATGCTATGCTATGCTATGCTATGCTATGCTGCGCAAGGCTATGCTGGGCTAGGCTAGGCTATGCTATGCTATGCTATGCTATGCTATGCTATGCTATGCTGCGCTATGCTATGCTATGCTATGCTATGCTATGCTTTTGCTTTGCCTTCTCTGCTTGGCACCCAGGGAGCGCAACTGGGGGAACCGCGCGTTTGCTTTTACCTTGGCTGTTGCTTTTGCTTGGCTCCCAGGGGACTGGGGGAACCGCCCGGGGCGGTTTGCACTGCCCGGCCCTTTTAAGCCAAGCGAGTAAGAACCCTTCTAGGCAGAGCCTAGGTAGGGAAATATGGGAAGATATGGGGAATCCTGTTCATTGCGTGTGTCCATTCGTGTGTCCCAGGGCCCCTTCAGAGGAGGCCCCTGGAGGAGCGGGGTCCTGAGGCATCGCCTCGCCAGCGGCACGGCAGCTGTCTGAACCATCACTGCCGCCTGCTGCTGGAAGCCGTGGCCGGGTCGGGGCTCGCTTTGGGGGCTCGCGTGGCCCTCCCCAGGCCCAGGTGCGTCACGCAAGCGTTGTGGAGGACGATCAATGGAGAGGAAGCATGTTGCCAAATATTGTCCAGATGTCTACAACATGTCTTAAGCATGTTTCAAGCATGTAGAATGTCGTTTGAAACATGTTTGGAACATTATCCCAGTGCGACCCTACCTAGGAGTTGGAGCCTCTAGGAAAGCAACAATATGCTATGCTATGCTATGCTATGCTATGCTATGCTGCGCTGTGCGATGCTAAGCAATTCTATGCTATGCTATGCGATGCTATGCTATGCGATGCTGAGCTTTGCTATGCTATGCTATACGATGCTTGGCTATGCTATGCTATGACATGCTGTGCTAATGCTGCGCTGCACTGCGCTGCGCTTTGCTGCGCTAAGCTAAGGTAAGCTAAGCTATGCGATGCTATGCTAAGCTAAGCTAAGCTAGGCTAGGCTAAGCTAAGCTAAGCCAAGCCAAGCCAAGTTAAGCTAAGCTAAGGAGCTAAACTAAGCTAAGCTAAGCTAAGCTAAGCTAAGCTAAGCTAGGCTGGGTGAACCCAGGGGGCGCGACTGGGGGAACCCCGGGGCGGGGACTGGGGGCACCGCCCGGGGCGGTTTACACTGCCCGGCCCCTTCAAGCTAAGAGAGTAAGAACCCTTCTAGGCAGAGCCTAGGTAGGGATTTTTTCCGACAGGCTAAACACACTTTAAATTCAATGATAGGACAGTTGGAGTGTCCATTGTCATGGCATCCACAACGCAAGCGGCGCGGGATGGAGAGCTGGTCCCAGGGGAAGCCTGGGGGGTCCAGGGCCCGTCTCCCTTAGGACCCCCCTCCTTCATGGCAGGAGGAGCAGAAGGAGGAGGAGGAGGAGGAGGAGGAGGAGGAGGGGGAGGAGGGGGAGGAGGAGGAGGAGGAGGACCAGTGGAAACCCAAGAGTTATCAACGATGTTGGAATGACCCTCCCTCCAAGCTCCCTCTTCAGAGGCCCCTATAACGGTTCATTT